ATAGTTCAGCCAATGTATTTATCTATTTATTCAATCTATTTAAAATGAATACAGACTTACCTACCACGTAAAACTGTTTTACAATATAGAGAAAAATAACATTTAGTGAGGCGCCAACTTAGGCTTATAAATAGACTCCCGTCAAAATATGTATATATATATACCTTTCAGTTCCCAAGATTGTAACAATCCTATCCTTCACTTTTCCACAGTTTTTCCTGTCTTTTTTTTCGATTTCTTTGATAGTTTTCAGATTATTTGTTAGGAAAAGTACGTTTTAACACATACACACATGTCCAAATGGGTAAACAACGAAAATATTTTAAGATTTTACACTGATTCAAATGATTTAGTCTGTAGTATATTATCTAAAGTTTTTGTAGAGAAGTGGTCTCAGTTAATAACTACAGTACAAGGTATAACTATACAATTATATTGAAGTTAGACATGTTAGCTATTGAATGGTGACTTAGTGATCTAAAGGCTAAGCGATATATTTGAGACCTATGAGGTTCTGAGTTCATATCATATCTTAGTAAAAACGATTAAGTTATAAAGACTTCCCGTTGGTCCATTGTAAATTCCATTTATGAACGAATAAGGTTTTCTCTAAAATAATGTAATGAATAGAAACTTGAACAGACTGAAAATTTGCCACACAACAACAATTCAACGTTAATAATCCATATGGTTATCGAGAAGATGGGACTTGTAGAGTAACTTTAAATTCCGTACAGAAGTCAAGCTTGAAAATGAAAATCTTTTTTGTATGGTACCATTCAAAGACCTTGGGATACACAACAAAGTTGGCAGATAAAAGGACACAACAACTAATCAGATAGCACTGCATGCTATTTCGAAAACAGGATTTATGAAAATATCTCTGAAGTTATCCTTTAAAGAAAGAACTGACACATTATAATAAAAATTAGACAACCTGACGTCTTAGCGACTAAGTCCGTAATGAAACCATGGATGCCAATATGTGTACATATATGTGTAGGGATTGAGAATTCTATAGTGAACTAGTCAGACCGTTACCTCCATTGATAAATTAGCTGAAAACAATATTACTTTATACCATTCTTTTTATTAAAAACCATTAATTAGTGTGATTATCATCAGGACATTCAAGTAACAACTGTGGTTTAAACTTCTTATTTATACCCTCTCCCCCTTACTCATTATTGAACAATTATTTCCACCTTCCACTTCTGCACCCTTCAAACTTGTACCCTAATAGAATTTATAGTTTTAAAAAAGGTATAGTCGTTCATTGTTGTTATCTTTCATTGAACGTAAAACTTAATCATTTATGCAGTGATAACTCTTCCAACCCCCAAATGCCATGGTACGGCCGAGAGTGAGGAGAGTACGTTATCCCTCTCCAAATGCTCTCATATGGCCACGCGTATATAGACTCTGTCGGGGAAGCCCTACTCACTGCCTTCTCGTACCATTACTGCTGTTTACGAAATTGAGAGGACGAAAAGAGAATGTCCGGCGTATAGGACGGGTTGGTGGATACAGAAAGTCCACCTAGAGGAGTTGGAAAACCCTGATTCAAAACAAATGGTGAACATGGGCTCCAGTATCCTGAGGGAACAAATGGCGTATGAATCAATCGTTGGTCACCGGCTACCATGGGACTGCATCTTCTCACGATGCTCCACTGCCTTGTGTACTAGACCTTTAGGTCAAAGGCTCGGGGTGTGGCCCCCTAAGAAAACCACCTACTTCAGTTTGGGCACCTGGGCAGTAGTATTCTGACCCTCACACAAATGAAATGAGATTTGTGCGACGCATATGTATCTGGTGCTTCCTTGTACCAATATTTATGTGTTTAAATAAATAAGATAAATAATAAATAACTCTTCCAGTAACAAAGCGTTCTGGCAATCTCATCATCAGTAGTTTACATTCAAGTTTAAAAGTGGCTAAAGCCAGAGATAATTTGTTTCACAGCATGTTATATCTTCATATGTTTATATGTTTTTCTATGCTTATGATCATACCCCTTAAAATTTATTGTTAGTACTCAAGGAAAATGTCACAGTCATTTTAATGTCAGCCGATGACTCTCAACTAGCCTGAAACCTAGTTCAAGTAGTGCTTTGTTGACTATCTCTAACCATCAAACATTAGTTGTGTCTAAAATGACATTTTCTGAGCATCCCATCTGATCAACTTGTAAATTATACCAATGAAATTCAACATCTGACTTTCGCTACATTTCTAGGTTGACGAGTTTTAAAGAAGACAAAATGTCAGTCTTGAAATCCGCTACTTACCATATTCCATCTATTCTATACAAACTATATGCCTAGTTTCAATGAAGTACTCGAAATGTAATTTCATATTATCATTGTCTCTCTTTTTCCTAACCATGAAGTGTTTTTTTAAGTAATTTACCGCCAATAAACTAGTATCAATTGATTCTTACTTACTTACTTACGCCTGTTACCCGTTGACGAGGAGCATAGGCCGCTCACAAGCATTCTCCATCCAACTCTGTCCTGAGCCTTCCTTTCCAGTTAACATTAATTCTTTTCATATCTGCTTCTATTTCCCGGCCGAATGTGTTCTTTGGTCTTCCTCTTTTCCGCTTCCCTTTCGGATTCCAAGTTAGGGATTGCATTGTAATGCACATTGATGATTTCCTTAATGTATATCCGATCCACTTCCAACGTCTTTTCCTAATTTCCTCTTCAGCTGGAAGCTGGTTTGTCCTCTCCGCCTGTAGCTCCTCCGGGGGCTACTGCCGGTCTCAAGCCCGGGTAAAGGAGGAGGGTTGGGCATGGGGTTAGCGACCCCATCCCGTAGAAAACCAACTCGCTAAAAAAATGCTAACCAGAAAAAAATTATTCAAACCATCGATTGATTCACCAACTGTAAAATCTATTTCCCTATCTATCTACCATCATTGTGACAATCATATTAAAAAACAAACATCCTTCTTTTTAACTCAGGTTATATATTTTTTTCAATATTTTGAATTGACATATTTTCCGGTTGTTTTTCTTTTTTACATGCTGTCAATTATTGGCCCTTTGACTTAAAATTATAAAAAAATCTTAATCGGATACAAGATTTTTGCTACTAATACTTACTAATATCATTATAGGATGTCAACAAACACCACCACAACAACAACAACAACAAAAGGAGTAACTGATTTCTTTCAAAAGGTTGCCTTTGAAAATTATTTTACAACTGATTCATTATCAAAGTATGCTGAGTATTTATTTTGCTTTGTATTATATAAAATTATGTAAAGTGTCAAGTTAATCTTTAACTTTTCAAGAATTTCATTAAGCCTAACTTTCTAATCGAAATGTCTTTGAATGGATTACTACTGAAAGTAAGAAAGAAATGAATAATGCCATTTATAATAGACTGATCACGACGATCCCGATACAATTACTTTTTACTTTTACTTTGGGTTTTGAGCTTAAGCCTTCCTTCATGTATACTTTTCCATTCTTATTACTAGGGCAATTGAAATTGATTTCATCTCCTTCGTTACTCACATTTTTAATTTCATGTAGTTGTACTAATGAGGTAAGGGAATTTCAGCTAACTCCTATCTTGATTATACTGTACCTAGTGAATGATTCAGTAACTGGGGGGTAATTGTTAATTTTAGTATTGTTGAGTTCTTTGAGATGAATAGTTTACTTGTAGAGCTTACATTGTCGGTCTGAACAAGATCATTAACGCTTATTACATGAATTTCCACAATTAAACTATCTAGCTCAAAAAAATTAATAGTATCAGTTACATCTACCTGAGGAGGAAATTTTCCCCAACATACTTGTTAATGTATCAAATTACGGGACTTATTTTGATTCATACACTGCTGATGGATTTGGTTGTATTATTGTATTCTTTCTAGTTAACACTTCCTAGATGATCTGTTCCATACATACAGTTGAAGAGTTAACAAAGTTATCCGTGAAAATCTGTATTTGTTTTTGCTTGTATTGCAGCCAGATTGGTTAGCTTTTCACTATTTTTACGTTTCTTCACCAAATTTGACTCCAACTTTGAAGTTGTATTAACTGACGATTATTGATGATCCTGACATATTTTATTTCATTGTACACATTTGGTTTTTTAAGATTTGGCTCATATTTCAGGCATGAGGGCTGGTGGAACTACTGAATAGCACAAATCAAAATAAGTGGAGTAAACTATGAACCTGAGACTTAATGACTAAAATTTGGACGCTTTAAGCACTCAATCATCGCTCTCAGATAAATTTGATTAGTACGAACAACCACTTCAAGTGTGATCAATGATAGTGAAGTATATATTCTGAGGATTGTAATCAAGCGACTAAGTTGAGCATAAAATTTCAGAACCATGAGACATTGCTTATTTGCAATATGATAAAATCATTCAGAACAATAAATATTAACATTAGGTGTGTACAAGCTTTGAACTATCAGGTGACCAGAGATCAGCCACATTGTCAGAAGCACGATCAAAGAGTAATCTTAACCTTAAAGTGCTTGGATACAAGAATAAAGTTACATTAAGTACCATCTGTAACTAAAAAACAGGATATCACTATAACAAGAGAGATTGTTAAGGAATAACGCAAACACACGAAACTTTATGTTTCGGGATTTCAGAGAAATCGTCTAAGATAGGAAAAACTACTCTGACCATACTTTAAAAACAAAATGAAGCAAGGGAAGAAACAAGAATTATTGATACAAATATCATAATGAACTAGACAATTGAAATAAAAGTACCTTCGTCTATAACAGGCAATTCTTTGCATACATGTCATACTCGTTGGAACGTAAAATGGTTGCAAATAATTCAAACTACTGAGTACAATCAAGTAGTATAATTTATATAAAAATATCTAAGTATTGAAAGTGTGTGTAAAACAAACTTCACTTATGTATGACTATTTTATTATCAGATATATGATCATCATGTTTTACTTTTTATTCTCTCCTACTGATTCTTTCCATCTTAACACTTAGCAATCGTCCAACATGGTATCATTCAGAGAAAATCAATCGGACAACAACGAATAATCATTCTAATGATCAAATTACATCCATAGAAATCAATCCATCCAGTTCACCATTCGTTAATAGGCAAGAGATAACTATTATGTCTAATAACAAGGATCATAAAAGTCAAGTTGGTGAATTATCATCATCAGAAACAACGGCTACAACAGGGAAAGTACAACATCATCACCAACAACAACAACAAATATATCAAGTGACAAATCAGCCGCCTCTGCCTCTTCAGCAGCACCCACAACAATTTACGTCAGGTTATGTAAAAGACAAGTCTAATTCACTTAATGTTAATGTTAAACAGGTAAAAATGGTCGAATCATTTTCCAAGTTGGGAATATTTATCATGTTTGAAAGTGGATGATGATATTTATGACATTGGTTCTTATTTAATTATACCTTATCTGTTCTCTTCCATTTTTCAATAAAGTTGGTTAGTTATTAGGAGCGAAATTCAGAATGCGTATTCTATCCTACTTGTGATTCATTAGCTGGATGTATCTGCATCTCAGTGTTGATGTTTCCATTCAAAATAGAACCTAATATCATTTACGTCCAACGTCCAACATTTTATCCACAAAAACGATAGTACATCCAGCTAACGAGTTCCAAGTAAAATCAAATGTATATCCTGGATTTTATTGTTAGCTATGGATCAACTATACTAAATCTCGTGACTGTATAACTATATCAGCACAATCCACCCAGGATTTCAGAAGACAATTATCATTTGATGTTCCTAGCGTTAAATATAGTAAAATAAAAAAGAAACCCCTCGTAAACCTCTGTCCCAGTTTTTTTATCTACTCGTCAAACAAAATAAACTGCTACTCTATTAAACAGTTAACCCAACTAAGGTTGTCCAGATTTTAAAAAATTAATATTGTTATATCTAGAACTTAGGTTATTTGATATACCGCCTACAACTTGAGCACTGTAATGCTAGAACCTTCCCAAGTCGCAAATGAGGACATAAAAGACGAGTGAGAAAGAATGCTATTCCAAACAGTGTCTAATATGGTACAAAACTCTCAGGTGTTTGTAGTTTTTGGTAAAATGAAACCATCATTATAGTCATCCAATCCGCATACAGTGGCTTTTGGCATTTGTCCAATAGGGAAGCTACACGTAGAGACTCTGAAACGTTTTTTCCAAAGATTGGATGAAACACCTTCTGCTCTTTCTAAGCTTTTTAGTGTTTCCTCGAATTCACTCGTCAGACGTCCTCATAAATGTAGTACTGGATATTTTCACACCTTCATTGAGATTAGTTATCAAAACCTTGGAAGATCTTCAGAAGTAAAACACAATAAAACTGTCAGGTCGCTTTTATGTTTTCCTTCCAACTAAAATGAGCTCAATTCCTCGGAAGGCTACCTTTACAAACAATCTGTAACATTTTATAAATTTTTGGAGAGAAAATCGTTATCCAATTTGTTCATCGGTTTTCATTATTAACGAGAGAATTTAACACATTTGTTGAAGATCACATATTTATTGAGTAAACAATGCATATAGCATTTAGTATTGTTTGTTTGAATCTTCCCATCGATGTGTTAGGACTGCAACTGGTCAGTCTCTAATTGGCATATGTGCATACTGTGCGTATTGCCTCGATATAGCCTACATTAACAAGCATGGTAAGCAGAGATGGATAGTAGCTAGCAGTCGAATCCAGGATTCGCGTTTCGTTCTATTTGGGAGTCGTCAGCTGGATGTACCTGCATCTCAGAGTTGATATTCACTCTGGGACTCGAACCCAGTACCTTTCACTTCAAACGCTTCGCGTTATCCACTCGACCACTGAGTCCTGATAGCCACTTGCTTGTGCGATGGGGTGAAGTTTTAAATTCACAGTATGCACATATGCCAATTAGAGACTGACCAGTTGCAGTCCATACACATCGATGGGAAGATTCAAACAAACAATACTAAGTGAATTTAAACTTCACCCCATCGCACAAGCAAGTGACTATCAGGACTCAGTGGTCGAGTGGATAACGCGAAGCGTTTGAAGTGAAAGGTACTGGTTTCGAGTCCCAGAGTGAATATCAACTCTGAGATGCAGGTACATCCAGCTGACGACTCCCAAATAGGACGAAACGCGAATCCTGGATTCGACTGCTAGCCACTATCCATCTCTGCTTACAATGCATATAGCAATTACTAGAATTGGATGATGGCCTAATAATTTAAAACTTTCAATGTTCACTCTCTAAATTGAACATTTAACCTTTATTTCTTCCCACTTCGGTTTTGACAGTCAAGTCTAATTCAGTAACTTACATATATAAAAAGAAATATACCTTAGAATTAATAAGTAAATAGTTGGATACCCGCTCAATAGTCTACATGTTAAACGTTCTCTCAGTGACACAGAAGTCCTTGATTCAATCTCTCAAGGGAGCTATTTGAATGGCGAATCACAATAAGTTAAAAACATGATTTTGTTTTCATATTTTGTCATATCAGAACTAAGTAATAGGTTCGTAGTAAATTAACAGGTAATTTAAAAAAGGTACATCATATAGCAACCGTTTAATGAATTACAAAAAAGCTGTCAAGTTACAGAATACAAAAACACAATAATTTAAGTGTATGGGTTGTACGTTCATGTACGAAACCAAAGATCCTGAGTTCGATTCCTAGATTCAGGGTAGTGGATGAACACCGTCGATCAGTCTCATACTAGTGCCATCTAGTGCTTTCAGTTTCTCAATGATGGTCTGATTAAGATCAGTTCATAATTTAAACTATGGAAATTCAACAATCTTGACAAATTCCTTAATACAAACTTCAGCATACATCACTCACCTACTAAATGTATGGTAAAATGTGAGAAATTATTGGATATAGCATACTTATTAAACATTGACAACGTCCTGTATAACCCCAGCCATTTTTAATAATTAATTGATCAACTCATTTTTTGGTCTATTATCATTAATGTCATTAGTCCATTGTCTTTTATATGCACAGAATACTTCAGATAAACTGAAATTGATCGATTCAAGACGTACAACACCGAGACAATTGAAACAACATCAATTAAAACGTAGTCAACCAATTTCTCATTCATCATTGACTACTAGCACTGAGCCATCACCCTCAACAACAACAACGATGATTCCATCAGAATTATATCAGCAAAAATATACAATTGCATTAAATCATCCCTATTCAGAAAAAACAAAAACTATCACTTCATCTGAAAATGTTCATAGTTCCATGGAAAAATCAACATTTCCTCAACAAATGACCTCTAGTGATCTAGCCACATCATTTATTCGTACTGCAAGTTTACATTTGAAATCGACACTATCAAGATTGAAACGTTCGAATAGTGGACATTCAAATAAACCATCAGATATAATAACTACCACTACTACCCATACTGACCTTTTGCCTTCGGTTAAAACAATTAATGTTAATGAGTCAGTAATGCGTCGTAGTTCTCTTCCTTCTGATAATAATGATAAATCTATAAAACTAATTGATGAAATCAATGGAAATACGAAGCGATTGTATCAAGAATTCAATACTATTTCGAAAAATGATAGTAAGTTATCTTCATCACCACCTGGATGTACAAAGTGGTCTACACGTTTAGGTCCTCCACCACCCCCATGTAAAACGACAGACATTGCTACTGCTGTCACATATCCTAAATGTTGTATATCGAAACCATCTTATGGAACTAACACATCAGAGACAGCAGTTACAACGACAATAAATCCAACACGACTACCATTAAGTATTGTAAATGATAATAAGAAAAATGTTTTAATTTTGAATAATACAACAACGATGGTTACTACTACTACAACTAATCCTGTCAATATAAATAGCGTATCCCAAGTATTGCCTAAAAATGAACGGAATGAATTAAATTTATCATTAACTGGTGGTGATGATTGCGCTGATTTTGGAGAATTCGGTCGAATTAACTTACGTACTGGGAGTTTTATGGGTCGTTATCCCAATTATTCACACTCGAATTACCACCTAATGAACTATGCCCAAAATGGGCAGCATAGACAATATTTATTGAGTGGTAACGATAATAGTATTAGTGGTATACGACAACAACATCAAGACGAGCAACAAAATCTTCCCGATTACAGACCACTTTATTTATCTGTCCAACCGTATACAACATTATCACCATCTGGGAATACAACACGATCAGCACCATCACCGAGTCTTTCATCAACTATATCAACACAAGGTATTCCAGGTTATAATGAATCTTCTCAACAACAACAAATTGTGTATTTTCGTCCTCAGAGTAGATCAATCAATTTGAAAGCGTCATCATCCTCTTCGGTGACAATGACACGTTCACCAAGAGTGAATTCTATGCATAATCCACAATTGTTGCATACAATAGATAATCCGGATGACCAGTACTCAATACCAATAACACATCCTCATGAAATGCTATTACTATCTTCATCATCATCTCCGTCTTGTGTAAGTCCGCATCCAGAATTAGACCCAATTTTAGAACGCCTGTTATTGGATGTAACAAGTATCGATGAATATAGAACAGCATTACATAGAAATGGTGAGTGAGAGATCGAGAAGTACTGATGGTAATTGATATTTATTGTAAGACAATAATTTAAGGACGAACCAATCAGATATAAGACTACGGGTCTTGGATTTTGGCGCGAAATTCACTAATACGTTTGACTAAATAGAGTTTTGGCATTTCAGCTTATGTCAGTACGTGATGAATACCCTAAATCCAATTCCTAACCCCAAGCATTAACCTTAAATCATAATTCTAATTTCTTACACTGGTTTATAACCCTCATTTAGTCCTAGTTAGCAGATGATCATTCTCAAAGTCCTTTTAGCGTTCCTTAAAAGCAGTCCATAAATTATAGTCTCACCATATTTATTGGTGACTGACTCGGTGTTTATTTGTTCCTGCGTGTGGAGGAGTGACTTTTTATGTCTTCTATTATACTAAGTTAGTGAGCGTTTCATAAATATTTCTACTATGAAATAGAAACCCTTTATTAGCATATTACGTTTTTGAAAGTTGATTTTTATTAGTTTACACAACAGATTAACCTTAGAGCTCTTGTGTCTGATTCCAAGAGCTCATTACCGGAGCTCTTGTGAGAAGCTATGACTGGTGGATATTTCAACCACATCGGAAGTGAAGCAGTTACCCACCATTGAAATATTAACCATTAGATGCTTATTCAGTGGTCTGAACGTTAAGCGCTTACTGATGAAACCTGAAAATTCTGAGTTTGATCTCCGATTATGTGGATGTTCATCATCACTTAACAGTTTCATAATTAGAAGAACCAGCTATTCAGTATTTCCTGGTTGTCAATGGCTATCTAACTAAAGTCATTTCATGATGTATACTTTAGTAGTCCATAATCTCTAAAAAAAACCTTCATATTTATATATCAATATTTTATACACTACCCGTTTTCATTTACTCTTATAGACTCAGTTACTCCGCCATTATCGACTAATCGACAGCGTACTATCAATCGCATACATACTCCTTTAGGATCAAGTGATCCTGAATCAATTTCACGATCGGCTGATCACATAACCAATGTGAATTTATCAAATAAACAATTAAATATATTACATGATAATATATGGAATTTAAATAAACAAATTAATGATTTAATACAAATGGAATTTAATAATAAACAGAAACAACCAACTATTAATAATAAATCACTATTTGGTACTTTGAAAATAGATTGTTCAACAGTCGGACCTAGACGTTCAGCTCCAAAGTAAGCTGATCTGTAATCATTCTAACCTTTTTTATATGTTCACATCAATTACGAGCATTTAATGATAGAACTCGCTTATGATGACCATGTTTTATGATAAGACTAATGACCTGTTTAACCGATGATAATAATGGTGTAAACAATAATCGGAAAGTCTTGATGCCTATTGGTTCGTTCAGTTCCCTCTAATATTGTGTTGTCTTTTCGACTTGTAAAGCTCACACGACTATATGCATCAATTATATGACTACAACACATCACAAACAAACATGTGTAATAAGTGTCAGATTCACTAGAATAACGTTTGAATTCATCTGAGGTTTGCTTCAGTCAGAAGACTGTCTTGGTTACTCGATAATATTTATATATAAGTAGATATCAATAATATACCTGATTCTACAATAAGTGATAATCAGTTAAATTTAAGCTTACATTCAAGGTGATGAAACAATAACAACAGTCATTCCAAAAGCAGTCAAACGTAACAAATGACAGGTTCAAATTGACTTTCCAGGCAAACTACTTTTCAATCAATAAGTTCATATAATAGTTGATTTAATGAACCGATTTAAGCTAGGCCATCATAGTCAGCTTGTCAGTAATTAATCTAACCAATGAGGTGCAAGAAAAGTGGATGAACACTGACTATATCAGTAATATTAACAAAAATTCCTCAATAATAACTAATAACTGGTGGTTGGATTAGCATGTGGTAACAACTGTTTAACAGTACTTGTTTCTTGAGACCCCATCATTGTTTAAAGTAATTCGGTATAGAAAGAGGTAAGAATCGCTAGAGGTAATTGATTTAAAGAGGTATTATTTTAAATTGTACACTGAGCATTTATCTTGTATACTTCGTGTTATTAAACAACTAGAAAACATTTGCAATGGAGACTGTTAACGGTTCGTAAACATATAAATTGAAATACTAGTCGTTATAGAATATTATATTTCATATATTCATGACTATAGTAGACTAAATGTATAAGGTATAGAGGTTGGAAGAAGAGTAAATCAATGAATGATTGGATGAATTGTAAAATTAATTTGCACATAAATTGTCCAAATAACTAACATACTACTGACCTTCTTCAGGAAAGAGATATTTACATTGACTGATCACTGTTTGTATAGAGTTAGTGCTGACTGAGTTTTATCAATCAAGCTGCAGTACGCCCGTTAATCTAAACGTCTCAACATCGTGCGCATTATGTTTTGATATTAGGTATTAGATGTGAATTGTTCTTCAATCCCGTCCCTAACTGTTTGATACTCCATATACATCATCTGGGTTCAAACTGCTGAGATCACGCACAATGGTTCTAAGTACTACCCAAACAGTTTACTAGTAAGGTCCCAAACAGAGAACCTCAGGCATACAGGCTTGAATACCCCTAGAAAACATCCACTCTCAAAAGATTGCAGCAACATCCTGTTGACATGTATTAAATAGCACAAAATTCAGATTCAGAGTTACTTACCGACTACCTCCAACTACTTAGCATCTTTAGTGGTAGAATTTGATCAACACTAAAAGACTAGACAAACATAACATTGGGTACAAATCAATGATCGATGAATGCATTTCAATTTCTGCTTTTACGACATAAATGTTTAGCATGAAATGAAGTTATTTATTACTTTAAAAGAATAAACTGGATGGCATTTATATCTGGCCTGGAAGAATCCATATTATTTGCAATTTATCAGCTTGAAAATTCTCTTTTCTAAAAATTATTTACCAGATTACAAAAGCTCCGTCACTGACGACATCATTTTCAAGCACAGTTGGACATTGCATGGTAGCGGAATCTAGGTTGTGTTTCGTCCCACTTGGTACACCACCGGAATTCTACTGCCAGCTTCTGTCCAACTATGTTTGAAAGTGCTTGTGGATTGATGATAATATAGAGGCAATCCAGAACAAGATACAATTATGCCAAAAAAGGCTGATCAATCACAATCTTTAACACTAACAATAGGAAAATTCAAATCAGTAAAGATGAGTTATTGGAGGAAGCAGTTTTGAGAATAATATTTTAATACTACTAATCAGTAGTTAAGAAAGTCTCATTTAAAAGTTTATCACTTTCAAAATAATTTTTTTCTCAACAGTGTTCAAGTTGAAGAAGAAGAAGAAGAAGAAGAAGAAGAAGAAAACAGTAAAACTGAAGCTGACATTCAATCAACTACACAACAACAGCAGCAAACAGACGAAACAGCTCCTGCTACTGTCACAAAAACCGGAAAATATACATCATTTAGAAAACATCCATTCCGTTGGTCAAGTCGGACAAGATCATCATCACATAAAAAAATAATTTTAACACATACACATTCGTCTGTTGTACGAAGTGATCAACATATTAATAAAGATGAGCATACAATTCATTTATCTACGAGTTCTTTACAAGCTACACCAACCAAATCAATAAGAACTACTAGGAATAATAAATCTACTAAGAATCGCCCAAATTATAACTGTGATAATGATAATATATCAATTAGTTATAATCAGTTAAATGGTGAACAACAGCCATCCGTAATATCTAATAGAATGGATTCATTGAATTCAAGTAGTAATTTATTAGATACAAAAAATGTATTACATAATTTGAAAAAAGATGATTATGTAACATTTTGGTCATTATCAGTTGGACAAATAACAATCTTACGAAAATTAGCTCTTATACAATTAGCCAGTATAGCTGATAAACATTGTTCCATAAATCGATCTCCATTTAGTTGGTAAGTTGATGATATAACTTTGTTTAGAATAGTCGGGTTTTTTTTCAGTTCATTGTTAGTTGAATAATGTTTAGGTTAGACGAAAGGTGCTAAGTCAAGATAAAGAAAATGATTGATGAGATTATAAATCTGCATCCACTGATACGATTGAGATATGGTGTTACATATGCCTAAAAGTTAAGCATTTCAATGGGCGCTGTTAGATGTTATAAGATTAAGTTAGAAGGAAGCTAGTAGTAGCGAAATCAAAACGTAGTATCAGCATCTAAATTCACTAATTGTTGGTCTGAGCCATTTAGGTAGATGGAACCTACTTGCTTGGAGTTGGCATGGTAACCACGATCAGTCGTTGGGAATGATTTACGATATGACTCATAGATGTTTATATTGATATCAATGTATTCATTGTTTATCTTCTTCTAGATCTCCAATTTCTTTTCTTTTTGTCTTTTCGTAACAATGTTTAGTTTTTTTTATCATTATCATCGTTATTACATTACTCCAATCACTTTTGCTATTCATCTTGTTAATTTCACGTCCATGGAGTATGGAAACTTGGAATAATGCATATATGTACCAGACTCGATGTTCATTATGATTTTATTATTGACTGATTTATTATAAATTTATATTAATTATTGTAAATGGTTTGTATATTTACTGTTGTTGACATTCAACGATGATACTAATAAATCTTCGTTGATGTATCTGATCCTGGAATGCCATTTACAAGTGATATTCTAGGATTGTAGAATCTAAATATTTTGAAATGCGATATTCGTTAATCAGTACTGATTCCCAATATTCCTATACAAAAGCCTGATCTGTTACTCAAGTGAAAAGAGTGAAAGTGAGAATAGCAGTCACGTTCACTTATTATTAGACGGATTTCTGGTTAAGCTAACGTAACACTTAGACTTGGGTTTAGTCCCTTTTTTATCGGCATACACTTTGACACTAATTTTTCTATCTAAATTTGAACCTGATACTTAATGATTTGGGATACAGCTGTTATCTATTACGCTACTGAGTAATGTTAGATGCCAGTAATATGTCAGATACTAAACTGCTTGACACTGACTTTCTAACTGCTTTGTAGTCCTTCTCTTGGAAATCTCTTACAATTAAGCCCGAGATAGAAGACAAAATGCGAGAAGTTTGAAAATAAGCTTTACTTCCAAGGCTACTTTCGTTACATAAAATAAGGATATTTATAGATAAATATATGGCCTTTATATTGTAGAAGGCTTTCGGAGACATTTTACATTTAGTAAACAAATCAGTAACTATCTAATCAGTATATAACACATAATCCATCGTTTTTGTAGAACTCTATTGAAAGCTGACTAGACGAAGTACTTTTACCCCCTTCTCTATAGCTGATACTGTTAAATTGATCTTCAGAATAAGGTGATGGAAACCAGCATTAAATGCTTATGGTAAGCAAAGATGGATAGTGACTAGCAGTGGAATCCAGGAAGCGCGCCACTTCGTCCTACTTGGGACTCGTCAGCTGGATGTACCTGCATCTCAGAGTTGATGTTCACTCTGGGACTCGAACCCAATATCTTTCGGTTCAAACGCCTTCGCGTTATCCACTCGGCCACTGAGTCCTGATAGTCACTTGCTTGTGCAATGGGGTGAAGTTGAGATGCTTGTGATTTAAGTCTATATCGAGGCAATGCGCACAGTACACATATATGCCAATTGACCAGTTGCAGTCCTAAACATCAGTGGGAAGATTCAAACAAATGATACTAAGTAAATCTCAGCATTAAATGCTTATGTTTATTTATCAATGTATCAAAAGAAATTCTAACGGGTGAAATCAACATGTTTCTGTATTTCACATGATTGTCTATTTCAATATTTTCACAGAGATCTTGCATAAGCAGAACTAAAAAATTCATATTAATTGTTTAACCTCTTATAACCGTGTCTAGTTTACTAATCGAAGCATATTTCACATCTTTTAGGCGTTTTATGAAATATAGAGCGCTTTTAACTTCTGGTGATTCAAATTTGATATCTAACTCATTAAGTACATCTCCATTATCCGATAAGAAACCATTTTCTAGTACAAATAATGAAATGTCTGTGAATAATCTAAATTCAACTGAACCAAACAGTCTTTCTCATCACCATCAGACACAATCACCAGGTTATGAACGTATACCTCAATTACCTATTCGTCGTATATCCTATACTGGGCCAGTGTTTGGTCAATCATTATCAAGTTGGCAACGTCGTTTAGGTTATCCTCTTCCACCAGCTATTGTGCATATGATGGATCATTTAGAATTAAATGGTACTACAGCTCATGGACTGTTTCGACGTCCAGGCGGTAAATCAAGAATATTAGCATTGAGAGAAGAGATTGAACGTGACATAAGTAAGTTTGTCCTCTTTTGAATATTCATCTTAACTACTTAATTCTTTCAAGTAGATACTTCCATATTGTTAATGTGATTAGTCTGTCATTCGATAGATGTCGAAAGCAGAAATTCTATCAAGATTATTAATGTGGTTTTTGAAATCTGGACAGAAGTATGGTTTTACACAATTCAATAATTGGCTTACTAAAATATGATTAGTCTGGAAAATAATGTTATGTCTATCAACGTCAGGATGTGTTTGGCTTCAATCTCAGTCGTATAAATTCAATGTTTGATAGTTTTACGCAAACAATGGAAACCCTGGACCTAGGTTGTTTTGCTTATTTTCTCCAGTCAGGATATTTAAAAATTCAGTATTCCTCATGTTGTTCAAATCGGAACCATTCAGTCCTTTATTGCAGAACTTTACTATTGAGCTATTCGGATAGCGACTGATCTTCTTAAAAGTGAAATATTTACTCTGAGTAATCACCAATGTTGTGTTGTCTAGTAATTGGTGTTGACCGAATACTGTGGAAACAAATAAATCCTTAATACTTTTAAGAAGATGTTTTGTAGACATTGATTTAATTTATAGATTGTTTTCAGCTGATCCTATCCGATGTACCATTGAAATTATGAGAGGACTGGCCTACTAAGTCATCCACGAATAAGAACCCTAGCAACAATGTAAACCCAAAAACTCACCAAGGTCGTTATTAGGAGCGCTTAACCACTAAATAATAGTTTGGCATTCCGAATTCGACCTATTCGCTGTACTTCCTGACCACCAGTCAGTCGAATAAGTAAACAAGCCACTGCGAACTTCCTATCCTAAAAACAACCATATTTTCACTAGTTGACAACTTTGAGAATTGTTCATGAAATTTTAATGAGGAATCATGACCTGCATAGGCTAACCATATTTGAAGTGAAATAATAAGTTTCCAAGATTCGTGAAGGATGCTAGTATAATTTACTGGATTAATTAAAATGTTAAATGTAAAGTATTTGATGATAACTTGACAGTCCAAACAGTAGTGTGTTGGCTAGCCGACTTAAATCCCTAAGAGGTGTAATATCCCAGAGATTAAGACGAGAGTTTGCAGTGTTGAATATCAACAATTAAAAATAGTCAACTCTCCTTAATACCTACATACTCCGTAGATAAGTTAGCAACTATCTAATCTCGGCAGCTTAGTGGATGTTGGATTGAGAGTTTAGATTAATAGGTACTGGGTTAAAGTCTCAGAGTGATCATCAATTTCATTGAAACTCATGATTCTATATCGGATACATTTCTTCTTCATTATTTCCTATACAATTTTTAGACTGGAGAAAATTCGATGATTGGCAACCATATGATATAGCAGACTTACTGAAACAATTCTTTCGTGAATTACCAGAATGTTTATTTACCAGTAAATTAGCTACAGTACTTGTCAATGTTTATATATGTAAGTTAATTATATTTTTGTGTACTTTTAAAGCAATAATATGAATATAATTTTTTCAGTATAGGGTTGTGGAGATTGTTGAGTTTTAATTTAGATCATGAACCAATCAATGTCAAACCACCATTGAAAACCTGGAAGCACTGGACGGCCATTTCGTCGTAGTATGGGACTCCTCAGCAGTTCGCGTTGATGATCCTGCACGTGGAGTTCGAACCCAGTACCTGCTTCATGATCTCAATTAAAGATTATTTTTGATCAAAAGATTTTGAGAGATTAGTTCCATTATTGCCATAGATTGATATCAGTGATGCAAAATGTTATTGAAAACTAGATGTCATTCATCAGCTGTTTCTCCATAGAATAAGCGGATGACATGGTTCTGATTAGTAAAGGTGACACAATGTAGAGTCTTCTGACAGCCTCATTAACAGTATAAACACCTTTGCGGTGCGATCTCGCCCGCTAAGTGCGAAAAGTTCGTTGTTTCCAACTTGTGGCTGTGAAACATGACTTTTGAAAAAAAAAGACCTCGAAGGTTGGTAGTACTTAATCATACGTATCTTTGAAACAGCACTCACATGTGTCGGGGCTCAGAGTACCAGGTAAAGATGGCGAATCATTTGATGATTTAAGAAATCTTCACTGATAATTAATGAGATACTTATTACACATGTCTTAGCATCACCTACCTCAACTTGCAATGTTATCTGCGGTAAGAATATGTTTAAAGAAAGCTAAGGTTTGCCAAACCAAAACGTGGCATCAGTCCACGAAATCACTGACAGTTGATCTGACAGTTGATCCAGACAATGTGGTTGAAGTTTTCACTGTTATGTCTGTTCTGCAATTCCCACGACACGAAGTAAAAACACCAAGACTAGTACAAGTAAAAATTTGTTAACCTCAAAACACGACGACAACCCTAGTAGAAAATACACTCATTTATATATTGACTGTACACTTATTATGATTATTGATAAGGATGAAACCATACATATGAAAGATCACATTCTGCATACCATCCTGAGCATAGTTCATGTTAATTTGATACAAGAATATGGTATCTTGAATAAACGTCACACAGATAAATCAGTGTTATACCGAATAAAGTATCAAACAAAACAAATACTACTCCGAATGATCATCATATGGAGTTACAAACAGAAGTAATGTTGAACATAAATAACAATGAATGATGGAATGTAATTTTGTCTACTCATCCAGTTATATCATTCATCATGATCGTAACCAGCAGTTGGAGACGTTGGGAGGCATGACTTAGAATCTGTCACAATAGCAATGGTGGATTAACTTACTTATTTCACTTAGATTTTGAGTTTCGAAATTATCTTTATTCCGCTAGTTCATTCATCTGAATTTTGTCTCGAACTCCTTGACTGTGAACAAACATATACTCATTAGCAATTGAATTGATAGTCTTTATGTCTTGAGACAAATAATACTTCTTTAAAACATTGATTCGGCACCCGACGGTCAACATTTATAACTTTGGTCAGTCGGGAATATAATCTGATCGTAACTCAATAGCATCGATAATAGTTGTCTTATTTCCAACGTGGCTATACTCCATCAATGATGGATTTCAATAAGAACTTGAAGAACTCCTGCAAACTGCTCAACAACAAACATATTTTTGTACATCATTAGTTTAACAGTTAGAAATCTAGACAATTAGTGGTCTAATTATGTAGTGCTTAATGTGTTATCCTAAGCTTCTGGGCCCGATCCCCTATGGGTTCACGAGTTCCTGTTATCAAAAAATCATCCTAAACTACAATTATCTCAAATGACCTTGTATTTCAATTCAGTTCATTATAAAAAGATTATCTTAAAAATTCTATCATCATTAGCAAAATTTTAAACTATTCTGTTGTTGACATTGAGGACTGAATATTAGCCAGTCTCTTTTGGTATATTTATATCCTATTCAAATTCCTTTAACATGCCTTTTGCACAAGCTAATGGTGATCTAGAGTTGGCAGCTTAGTATTGGAACATTTAAAGTGAAAGATACCAGGTCAGAGTGCCAATGTGAATACCAACATTCTAGGGTTAAGGTACATCCAACTAACAAATCTTTAGAATGAAATACTCATCCTTGATTCCTTTTCTAGCCATAATTCATATTTTCTAATATCTTTTAAATTGTATAATCACTATCCTGACATTTTCTTCTCGTTTTCAAAATAAATTTTTTTATTCTATGTTCTGTCTTTATACTGTTACTATTTGTTTTATTTCTTCTTTCATTCTTGTACATAATGTACGTAATGCACTTATTTGTAAATCAGGTGTTCCAAATTCAGTACAAATTGATTTACTCCGTTGGATATTAATTAGTTTACCAGATGAAAATCGTCTTATTCTACAGAAATTATTATATTTACTCAATCATTTATCACATCATAGTGATGTAACTGAGGTAAGTGACAATTGTTGAAATATATTTACTTCTGATTGTTAGTATATTCTTATCTATCTGTTTTTACAGTTTTAAACTATGAATTGATTTTAGTTAGATAATCAGTAGGAATTAGGAAGAACTGGATAGATGTTTCACTTTGTTACCGAACTTCTCAGAGGAATTACTTATCTATAACCCTACCAAATATCGAACCCAGGACATTCAGGCTTCGAATTGAATGTCCAGTCTTGAAGTCATTGAGTTGGTATCAAGTGGTTCAACTACACTTCTTGTTAGGCTCATGCATGCGCTCTATTGAGCAGTTAAATACTAGGAAGAAAAATTTTTTCAAATGATTCCTGATTTTTATTGATTATCTAACCTAGGTTAGCTAGTTATGCAAACTACAGAATTTCAAAATCTCTACAAATATCTTACACTAATCAATTATTGTTAATTTGTATTTCAGATGAGTGCTAGTAATTTAGCTGTTTGTTTTGCACCATCCTTATATCGATTAATTAAGCCATCATCTTTATCTACTCAAGGTGTAAGTCTTAGTCCAAGACGTCTAAGACGAACAACTAGTGGACCAGATCCCAAAGATTTAGCTGATCAACATGCTGCACAATTAAGTTTAAGTGCAATGATTACGTTGGCACCAAACTTATTCCAAGTGAGTAACAAAGTGTTTATTTCTATGCATGTTTTTATGTCTTTGTTTTTTGTCACCGGACTTCACATTGGTGAACATGAAAAGCTTTTGGTTCCTTCCTTCTATTTGAAATCTATATTAATAGTCGCTGAATATTTAAAGGAAACCGTCAAAGTGCTTTGAAAGTAGATACCATTTTGAAGTGGATAAAGTAGTGGAACCAGGATATATTACGATCTGTGAGACATTTGTCGCTTTCCTAACACATTTGAACCTTATCAGTTGCAAACTTCGATTAGAATGTAATGATATATTCTACAATCTACCTGACAACGGGTATATGATGGTATTATTCATTTATTTTCTACTGTCTTGTTTTCTAGTAGTGAAAATAAGTCAGTCATAATTAATGTACATCCAGTCCACATATGGGCATTAGGCTCAGTTGTCGTATCATTATTAAGTCTAATATGGCAACTTGATTGGATAAGTGAAATGAATCTGGACAAAACCAGAACTAGACAGACTTGATATGATTTATATATTGTTCACTGATAGATAAGTATAATTTATTCAACTTGACATTACTTTAAACACTGACCTTCTGATCGATTTCTAGTCTCCGGAAATAATTTACTCCATAAGTTCGAACAAAAAATAAAATGTGAGAAGTATAAATCAAGCTTTATTTCGGAGGCGGGTCTCTATATAGAGGACAATCGTGTTTATGGTATTACATACGAATTTAGGATTCGAGAAGTATTAGGAGAACATGCTAAAATTGATGATTTTCTAGTTAGGACAGTGAGACCATCATATATCATTCTCCAGAACTTTTTTGTAAGTTTCCAAAGAGCGTTAACTGAGCGAAGTATTTTCATAATTTTTGTCCTGCTTCTGAAGACTGTTTCCGAGTAATTATGAAAGGATCCTAACAGTTTAATCTGTTATTGTTGTTAGTTTCATCGAGATAACTCTTTGAAGATTCGTTAAAGTAAGGAAATATTCTTCGCTTCTTAATATCCTTATTTATCAAGAAAATGTAAACAATATGTAGTCGTACAAATATAGCACAGGGGTAACGTCTTACACGGTGAAACTGAGTGACGCGGGATATATATATATATAATGACTCACTCAGTGATAAACTCAGCAATGACTGTCGGTCCACAACACAGACAGGCACAAAAATGACCACTTCAATATAGCCGGTTAGACAAAATGTGTCAGTCAATAAGTGAACTCCCATATTGATCTGTTAGGAGAATAATTAATTTACAACTAATCAAAATACTAGAAGACTAATTATACAATAAACGAACTTATTACTCATGAGTAGTGCAATTTCAATCCACAACTACATCTACATTTGTTTTCATTATTTTTATTACCACTACGACGACTTAGATCTCCTGCTCTTTATTAGAGCATTCAACTCTCCTGACTAGTTTAACTCCATTGGCACAAGATTTAGAGTCACTAATACCGAATGGTGATTGGCCTCAATGGATACAAAATTCATTAACTGATCTTATACGTGAATGTTCTTCATCAAAATCTAAAGGATGGAACACGATTAATCGTGATGTTATGAAGTATTACAATGCTGAGTAAGTTTGAGAAGTAGTTTGGGAAGTACTATTTTCTTTTACTGTCTAGTATTCCCCAGAAAATAATTGATTACGAACATTGTGTATTCTGATATTAGGGCTTATATAGAATTTACATAGGAACCTTCTAGCAACTTCTCGATTCACCTATTAGAACCAACTGGTTAAAAATGTATCGACCTGTGCATTCTGATTTGAGCCTTTCAAGGAATTCAATATTCAAAACTATTCTGTCAACACAATGCATGTAGAGAGTTTTGGACGGTGTGGTTTTACGTGAAGGAATAACCCTGGTTAGACAACCACTGAAAATTAGTAAGGACTGGACAACTGTTTCGTCCTGACCTCGAACTGATTAGTTGAAGGAGGGATCCATCTACAACACTAAGAATCGAGATTCGGACCTTTAGGTCCTGTTCCGAGTTTATAACCTTCAGACAACTGAGCTGACATCTAATATTTTATATTTCTTAATTTCAATCAATTTTTGGAGTCCTAATGGGAAGAAAAACTAATAAAGGAGTATATGAGATAGAAAATGAGTGTTGGGATTGTGAGTGAATGAAAGATAACTTTTTTATGCACAGAGTTTAAACTTGAATAGAGTGTTTGCTAAATCCTCTGCAGTGCCGAAGTTTGTATCGTCATTGAGATAATTCCTTTAACCGTATAGATGACCTTGAAAAATAATTATTGTGGAGCGACGTGACCATAATTTACGAAGTGTTCAAAAATCGAACTATCGGTTGACTTGTTTACCGTTTTGACAGTTATGAAAGGTATTGCTTGGAGATAAGTTTTGAATGGACTTAGTTTATTGAGCCGATATGGTCGATTTCATAATAGCAAATAAACTTGTAGTTACTCGTTAACGTGACTCAAAGTAGAAGCTCGTCCTTGAAACACCCATGAATCAAAGTTCACCTGATGAAGACGATAAAACGTATATCATCATAGGGTGTTTTTCTCAATTGTCTTGAGATCTTTTTTAAATATATCTGTAGAATGATTTCTCTTAAAATTAATCCCCATGAAAATAGTTTTCTTGAACCCTCTAGACACAATTTTATGTTGCCCGTTTTGTCATTAACTTCCTGTTGATGAACCTTTCGAGGATACTTATTGTTGGTAAGTAACTGGATCTGGGATTTTCCAGTTCAAATAACGATCAAACTAAATAATTCATTGATTAATCAAGTTCATAAATGAATATCACCATCTAGTTGGTTGATATTAAGTATTTCAGTATTGAATAACACTTCATTTCTTCATTTCCTATGGTTTCTATCCCTTTTTTTTTCCATATCTACTGTCGATTAGTTCGGGTGTTAATGAATCGTTGGATAATTTTGAAATTCATTACAAAAAAATACCAACTTCAACTGAATCAAAAAGTACATCAAATTCTTTACGTTTATGGCGTTGTTCACTGTATATACCTGAAACTAATCCACGTGTAATATTAAATCGATTTGTGGAAACTAGGTAAGTTTATTTCAATCATTTATTGGTTGATCTCTTCACTAATTAAATATGTAATTTATAACCTCATTTGAGATTTGTTATCCTATTTACTGGGTACGAATTGGCTTACTTAACTTCGATTCACACATGACTCACACTCACATTGTCTATTGTCTAAACTAAACCTGGGACATAGTGACTATTAGTCGAATTTGTTAATCACTCAACTTATAGGCTAACGGAATAGATGGCAGATTAGTAGTTGACAATACTGAAATCAATAATGAAATGCTAGTAATACCCCACTGATGAGTCCTGAGTAGAACGAAACACATATTTTGTATTGGATTATTAATCATTAATAAAAAAATCAATAGTCAGTCTGTAGTCCCAAGTAATACATTCAAACAATTCTCTCAGGTTGCATAAGTCGTCTCCATCGGTTCCATCCCTTAACATCAACAACGGGGAAATACAACTCCATACAAATAACTATGATATATGATTACACCATTACACATTTTTTATAATTTTCAGAATGTTTTTTGTGAAAGCTAGTCCCCCATAGGTACATAAGCTGGAGCTTCAGAAATTTCTTCAATAATCCTTATATTGTGACACTAGTTCATGATGAGAACTTTATTCTTCAAAGTTGAAATCATGAGTCAATTGAAGCTAGACCACCATCGAAAACCTGAAAGCACTGCACGGCCGTTTCGTCCCATCATCGGACTCCTCAGCAGTGCGCACCCACGATCCCGCACTCGTGAGATTCGAACTCAGGACCTAACAGTCTCGAGCCAGAGCCCTTAACCGATAGACTACTGAGCCGGCATCCAACGTGGATCAGTTGGAGTTAGACATCAACATCCGTTGAATGCCGGCTCAGTGGTCTATCGGTTAGATGCTCTGGCTCGAGACTGGTAGGTCCTGGGTTTGAATCTCGCGAGTGCGGGATCGTGGATGCACACTGCTGAGGAGTCCGATGATGGGACGAAACGGCCGTGCAGTGCTTCCAGGTTTTCGATGGTGGTCTAGCTTCAATTGACTCATGATTTCAACTTTGAAAAATACTGAAGTCTCCACAAATCCCCTTCGGAGAGCTTTATTCATCATCTACACATTTTCTGATAGACCTATCAGTCAGTTGATAGACTATTTTAATGGATCCAAATTAAAGGTGACCTTCTTGAAACCATTCAAATATCATGCTAACGAACATAAGTTATTGAGCTTTTGCAAGATGACAATTATCATAAGTGACTTTAATTAAAACCATACTGCGACTAAATAACTGTGACAAGAGTTGAAAGGACTGAGTAAATCTTTTTTTATGATCAATTTACAAAACATCATGTCTTATTTCTATCCATTTATACCTTCTTTCTACATATTTTTAAAAAAAACTTAGATCATCATGGGATCCAGAAGTTGTACAAATGACAATAGTTGATCAAATATCTGATAGTGTTGACCTTTGTGAACTACATTTATCTTCAACTTATCCACAACCAAAATGTTTACTACAATTATTACGTGGTATACAATATACATTGGATGATGGGAGTTGTGCAATGTTAAGTGAATCAATATGTAATTCTGCATTCTCCATTACAGACACTACTCATTCTTTGACAACATTATCAACGAGTCCATCGATGAATGTTCTAGGTCATGTGTATGAAGATCATGTTTATATTCGTCCAGATAATAATGGTCGGGGTTGTCGTGTATATTTGTTGTCTCGAGTTGATGTAAAGTAAGTTGTCTCTTGTTGTTGTTATTGCTGCTCTGATTTCTTTGATTGTCTTGTTATATGTACACTGAGAAAAAGTAGAATTCTTAAATGTAAGGAATCCATAGAACAACAGTTCTGACTTAATTGGGTCATAACAACTCATATCAGTCAGTCAGTCGGCTAATTAGTTATATTCAATGTAGAACCTGGCACATATACTCATCGATTTAAATTGCCCCATCAGCTAAGCTTAGCAGGATGAAATTATCACGACAGAGTGTCACAAGTTATATCTGGGCAACGTTAATCGATTTCACTTGTGAAATTCACCATCCGGAATTCCGATCACAATTTTTCTACTTCACTTTTCTAGCGTTCTTAGTCTTAACCAATGATACATTCTGACCGACACAATTAACCGTGATCGGACGTAAACTTTACTCCTATTGGTCCGCCGATATGCACGCCACCTCCTATCCTCAACCTTGAGTTTGAAACTGAAATCTCCAGCTAAGCTCGTTATCAAAGCGAACCTTTAGTCTTGTGGGAGCTAGTGCTCCCTATGTAACTCGGGACTTATTCATTCGCTTTCCAAGTCTGATATATTACCACTGGGATATTCAAGCAACGACTGACCTACATTCAAGGTAGTAAAAATCGACAACAAAAACTAGCACTTAGCATAGATTAGGTGAAAAATAACCAGTTCATCATTGGTTAGGCAGATAGTATTCACTTCAATCGATAAATTACGAGCAGTAAAATCGTGCAGTTTGTTATAACTACTCACAAACTAGGATTCATAAATCTCATACGGCAGATAAGAATCGAAGTACAACTGGTAATATAGACAATACATGAAAACTCATGATGTACATTTATTCAGGAGTAATGTCGCGGTTTATCTTACATAAATCGGACATTAAATTTGGAAAATAAGTAAATCATTAGTAACAAAACAAAACACATAAAAATGGGGTAGGATACACAAGAGTTGAAAGAATATGCAATAGAAATTTGGACATAAACCGATCTAAGGTGATATATTTAGTGATTAGCGTAGACTTATGGTGTATTATTAGTTCTCTTTTTCATTCGTATTCACAGGAATTGTTCATAATTAGGTTAAAACAACGTTAACTTCATAGTACCATGATTGTTGTGTTAATTCTCATTTTTTGCTTTCGGTCGCTTTGCCTACTGGCACTATCATCAGTAGTATAAAATGTTTACAAAAATAAATGGGGTACATGTGGGATGTTCTCCATAAATCATACGATACATAGGTCAACGCATATAAGGTAGTCGATGAAACTGGAAGTGGTTTAGCCATTACTATTATTTTTACCAGTATTATTGGCTTTTAATACATAATTATATTACTTATCACTTGATTATCTCTTACAGAGGATATGGGCCTGATTGGTATGTAAATCAATGGGGTCATACATTATGTCGACGATTAATCAATTTACGACGATCATTTCAGAAATCTGGATCACCAGTTTTAGTTTATGAATTGGAAGATTCAATATCTAGACCTTCCCCACCACCTTATTCAACTGTAACTGTAAGTACTTCAGCAACAACTACTACTGTTTCTACAAGTACACATATACCAGTTTCATCGCCATCTATAGATACATCATCATTATCAACTGATATATTAATTAATCGATTTTAAGTGTTATTCTTTTATTTATTGAATGTAAACATATTACCTTATTATTTCAAATCAACGAGATCTACTTAATTGTAAACCGTAAGCCTGTTTTGTACATACAATTTTTGTCAGTTTTCTTTTTTTCAACATTTTATCAATGTTCTCTTCTTTTATTCAGTTCATTTCAAAAATATTTAAAAAAAAAACTTGTTTTTTCCATCCAGATAGCTTATATCCTAGATACCTATGAAATTCATTTTTAACATTTGTAACTTATAAGTTGGATATAATATAGTAATGTTTGTGTGTTGTGTGTGTGTGTGTGTGTGTGTAATTCCCTTTTTTGTTTCTTACCGATTTTTTTTTCATTTTTCTGTTCCCTATTTTTACAATATTAACAATATTCAAACTTTTTGTTTCATATATACACACACACACGCACAGACACACATGGAGGCATGGTGGTACTTGTTTTATAATCCCTTCTTTAAAAGGTATTTACATTTGAAATCTAGCTCCCCTCTATTATCATCATCATCATCATCATTATCATAGTTATGTGTAAATGAAGATGATGAAAATAAGAAGAAAAACTGCTCGAGAATTGTTACATCATTGTGTAACATATTGAAATGTATTCAATTGTATATTTATATTTAATGTAGTTCAGATTGTTTGCTCTGATTAGAATAATGTTAAATCATAGTGATATTCAAGGAAGTAAATTTGTAACATTGTATATAATATATATTATAGAATTAAATTTCCTGTTTGAATATATATATATATACTTTTTCCATTAATCTATCCATTTACTTACCTTTTGGGGGGAGGGGGGCTATTTCTGTTACTATGCATCCCCTTTCATAATTAATTATTGATTTTATGAACTTCTTAATTGTATATAACTTAATGTTGAATTTTATTATGTAATAGATTATTTTTCTCTAGTTTTAGTCGTTATTTTAATAATCATGATTAATATTTATTTATAATGTGGGTTTTCTTTTCCCCCCTGAATGTATAGATTATATAGATGAGTATGAATTAGCCTGTCGTCGCCCCCCCCTCCCGTTTTTTTTTTCTTTTTTTAAGAAAGCAAACAATTTTTTTTTGATTACCTATGTGTGTTTTCCTTATTAATAGAGAAATATACTTAACTCAGTGCAGTTAATTTGTCTATTTTTTATTAATCCTAATCAACTGTCACTAACATTACTTTTCTTTTATTATTATTTTTGTCTTTGATTCATTTACAATCCAATCCTCTTGATGATCATGTCTTTCTATCTTATTGTTGCTAATATTATTTGTTTACTAAATATATACATATATATGAACATCATTTTCTTTTGGTAAGCAAAGATGGGAAGATTTGAACAAGTAATACTAAGTGAATTTAAACTTCACTCTATTGTACAAGCAATTGCTTATTAGGACTCAGTGACCGAGTAGATAACGCGATGGAGTTTGAAGCGAAAGGTAATGGGTTCGAGTACCAGAGTGAACATCAACTCTGAGGTGCAGGTACATCCAGCTGACGAGTCCCAAATAGGACGAAACGCGTGTCCTGGATTCCACTGCTTATAATGCTTGTGAATTTAGGCTACATCGAGGCATTACGCACAGTATGCACATACGCCAATTAGAGACTGACCAATTGCAGTCCTAAAAATATTAATGGGAAGATTCAAACAAAAAATACTAAGTGAATCATTTTTCGTTTGGTTATTGAATGGACAAAAGTTTAACAAGTGGAGTTTATTTCATTTATCTTTTCCGTTGTTTTTGGTAGGTAAACAACTGTCTCACACTTGATACAGTTGAACTCTACTGGTTACGGCTCCTCATCAGAACTTTGGTGATTGCCTGTTGAAATGAGTTTAACCATATCAGGCGTGAGGCAATTAATTATCCATCAGAGACAATAGACTACGGTTGGGCAATGCCACGAATTGATTGAAGTTTGGCAAGTACACTATTGGATATCGACTCATTGGTTTAAAGTTTAATCATTTGCCTCCAGACTATGAGATCCTGAGTTTGACCCTTGATAGAATCCTGGATATATAGGCGAGAAATCCCATACTAGGCAGAAATATCTGTCCAGCGCTTTCTGATCTTCAACGACTGTCTGACTTAAGGCCGGTTTGCGACCTCAATGATACTCGATAATCGACTAATTTGTTGATATTAGTATTACTGCTATCATTATTATAAACTGAATGCGACTTTAGACTAAGTGAAAGATTCAAAAAATAGTATATGAATAAACGTACATTATGTTTATACTTATGTATGACTGCTTTTTCCGTTACAGTATGTCTGTATGTACGTATAAGTATGTGCACCGAATAGTGTATTTAGGAATTCAGTAAACATTCAAAGAACTACTGTACTATATAACCGTAGGTATTAATACACTGAGAGATGAGATACTAAAAATACGTTTTTTTATTGAATTAGCTTATAATTATCTCGAATTGTGAACTGTTGGAAAATGTTTCCTAATATGAGCTGGACCTATGCATCCTAGAGAGCTCGATGAGTAGTCTTGACCACACTTCAATAGTAATCTTTTATACAAGTGGAAATAAAAGCAATGAATCCAGGATGGGCTTGACATTTCAAGGACTCAGCGTTGTAGCACAATAGTGACAGCTATAACTTTGGGACATATAAAAAAGTAGCAAAATGAAAGCATGACCAAACAGTTAGATAGTAGAAAGGATCAGCTAAGTATTATATGTTGAAGAAAATTCACCGAGGTCTTTTATCCTCATCGGAACTATAATTTATAAGCTAAAGTAAAAAAAAAACAATGATTCAAGACCATCCTAGGAATAAACTACTTTAGATCAATAGAATAGTATGAAGACAGCTGTTTAGCTATTTTTTGGCATTAAGTTGTTCATGAATTCTAAGATTGTAATGAACATATGTGTTCGAATCATATTTAATTTCATTCTGAAATTCAATAGTTTAGTTACTCAGTTGTTTGAATAAATTAACTCTGAAGTTGAATAAATCGAATATTTATGTGTTTCTATGCTAACCTGTGTGCTTTCCATCTATTCACTAATCAATAAATAAATATTCAGGAATTAGTTTCATCTCGTTTAAGACTTAGGAGTGATTAATTGCCGTCGTTCAAATTGAAATATGGTTACCAGTCTTGGTGATTTTACATCAAACTGTATTTTGTTTTGTGACAGATTGTGGTTTAAAGGATTTAACACAAAGCCTTACTTAAAGAGATTTCATACTATTTGAGCATGTCGGCATTACAGTACTTGTAATCCACCACTTCATCCTCCACACAATGTCATCAGTCAGAGATGCTACAATTGAGTTATCCGAATCACAGCTAAGTGCTTCATCGTAGATTTTAAACTGCTCCACTATGTGTACCTTAGTTAAAACAGTAGACAATACAACAATCGTCGTAACTATTCAGTGATCTTACACGCGTTAGCTGATAACAGCTCTGTATTCTCCAGGTGTCAGTTTCAAATCTATTCGGCTAACAAACTCGTTTTATTAAAAAAATAAAACTCAAATCATGTTAAGCTTTTTAGTTTTAGTTTCCAATCATCAAAGAAACTGACATCATTAATTTATATCTATATTAGTAAGTAAATTGCCGAAGTACGAGTTTCGACTATATTGGTTGTGAGATAGAAATAGTCCATGGCATTAGATGACTGTTGTGCAATATTGTCATTTGACTAGAATTAATATCGTAAACAAGTAAATTTCAATTTGATATCTGATTAGTGTTACGCTTACCGCCACAATTGATGGTTCTGAAGCTGTAATTGGAAATATCTGAATAGTTATAGAATAATATAAAACAGATAACTGTTCAATGTTCTCTAAGTTTTCAGTACTTCTCTTGCTAAAACCAACTTGTGAATTGTGTGTAACATTGAACACCAAGCCAATGATTTTACTGATTATGGGTTGGCCTCGAAACCTGAAGGTCTAGGATTCAACCCATGGTAAGGTAATAAATGCATACCGTTGAGATGTCCTATATTCGGATAAACTAATGTCTTTTCTTCAATGACACCTCACTGTGATCAGTTTTTAACGAATATAGCTTACATAGTGATGTGTGAGCGAGAATGATAATGACTGGTTTTCTGCTTAGTCAGACATGTTGATAATCTGACAGGTGGCAGATGACTTCCCCTATCCTTATTACTTATTATTATTGATTGACTGTCCATTGTTGTTGGATTTTGTCAGTTTTTGATGTGGAAATATTATTTACTTTCTAGTCAGGCTAATCACATGTTCTTGATCTGAGTCGTGTTAAAGTCCTGTAGAATAGACACTGAGAGGGAATCTAGTATAGATATTCGTCTAAGGTAAATGAACGTCCCATTCCTATAAACAAGGAAAATGGATCTTTATAACACATAATGAGTTTATTATTCAGTTCAATAGCCAAATATTTAGAAAACCAAAAAAACTAACTTGATTGATAAAAGTCCAATCTTCATAGTTGAAATTATGAGTCAATTGAAGCTAAACCACCATGGAAAACTTGGAAGCACTGAACGGCCGTTTCGTCCTGTTATGGGACTCCTCAGCAGTGACCAGTGGAGTTCGATCTCGTTTGTTGTTAAATAAGAGCTTACTGAAGACAATTGGTGAACGGTTGCTCAAACTTCATGGATTTGGTGAAGTTAGACATTAACACCATCTGATGCCGGCTATCTAAGTGGTCTATCGGTTAAGTGCTCTGACGCGACACTGGTAGGTTCTGGGTTCGAATCTCGTGAGGCGAGGTCGTGGATGTTCACTGCTGAGGAGTCCCACAATGGGACGAAACGATCATGCAGTGCTACCAGGTTTCCCACTGTGGTCTAGCTTCAATTGACTCATGATTTCAACTATGATAATACTAAATTCTCCTTCAAACCCCTTCTGATCTAAAAGTTCAATCAACAATTTATAATTCAATACCATAATTTTAGTTACTATATGAACAATTAAAAAATTTCACTTAATTATCAACTAATTATATATTTAAAAAATAGCACATCATTAAAAGAGAATACTTGTTTTACTATTATCAATCATATAGTTGTCAATTTTAATTGGTACTAAGATTTGAACAGAGAGGGTGTATATGCATGTGTGTGTGTGTGTGTGCAGGGGGGAGGGGGAGAGAGAGATCGAAAGCTACATCTTTGTAATAATTACTTTTTTTTAATTAGTCTCTTTAAGTCACGTGTGCTTTATGGTTTCTAAGATTTTACTTTTTATTCAATCATTATTATTTTGAAGATGTGAAAAAAATTGTAAATAAATCAATATATATGTATGTGACCCCAGAAACAATACGCTTATGAAATTTTTAATTAAACGGAGCAATAAACACTTTCCCCTTGAATTTTTTTTTAAATGAACTCATTTCATGTGGTTTATATGCAAGTGTATCTATGACTGTGTGACATCCAATTATATATATAGGTGAATTGTTGTTTCTATGATCTAATATGATTACATTAGGATATATTCGTCACTATGACTGTTATGGCTAATAATTGATTGTTTCAGAACATACATCTTGGAATAAAATAATATGAAATACAACTTGGTAAAAGTAAAGATGGATAGTGACTAGCAGTGGAATCCAGGACGCACGTTTTGTCCTATTTAAAACTCGTCAGCTGGATGTACCTGCATCTCAGAGTTGATGTTCACTCTGGGACTCGAACGCAATACCTTTCGCTTCAAACGCCATCGCGTTATCCACTTAGCTACTGAGTCCTGATAGCCACTTTCTTGTGCGATGGGGTGAAGTTTAAACTCACTTAGTATTGTTTGTTTAAATCTACCCACTGATGTTTTGGACTACAATTGATTAATTTCTTGTTGACATATGTGCATACTGTGTGTATTGCCTTCATCTTTGTTTATAATGCTTGTGAATTAAGGCTATATCGAGGTCATACTCACAGTATACACATTTGCCAAATAGAGACTGATCATTTGCAGTCCTAAACATCAATGGGAAGATTCAAACAAACAATAACAAGTGAATTTATGTATGTTTAAGTTAGACAATTATCTTTAAACCATATTCTTATGTTCATAATTCAATAATAACCAGTATTTGTTTATGAATACTGTCGATGAGTATTCGTTAGAGAAGAGACAGAATAAATGGATAATGAAATCTATTAAAGTATTGTGGTTTTAGAAAGTTTATTATCATTTTCCCTACCCGAACATTATTGAAATATCGTTACATAATCTCATTTATCTGGATGGCAAAACATATTAACATTAAGTGAATTCTTTTCTAAATCATCGTCTACGAAACCTTTATCAATAAATTCACTGAAGAGTTAGTTAGATGGAGTTATAAAATAACGACATGAGTAACAATCGTTATCTATTGAAGTAATCTTGTTTCCTCAGCTCACTCTGACAGTTCACTCTGAATAAACTGCCGAATTTTAATCCACGTTTCATCCTAATTACCAATGATTATGAAAATATATCAACAATCTTAAGGGAACTATTTTTTTTCTATGTAACTTAAATCCAAATTGTCCAGTATTACAATCAGAATCGGTATCACTGAATTATGTTCATTTCAAAAACATGATCATTATCGTCATTTCTGAATATGTTGATAGCCTAGGAGAATTCAAACATATCACTCATTTGTGCTCACTTACTTCCTTAAGGACAAATGGTAGGTAACAGATGATGAACAAGCCAGTTGTGATTACATGTCGCTGTCTGGACCAGAAGGATATACACCTATATATAGACACCTATGATCTGTAAAAATGATGTTTTTGTTTTGACTATTTAATTTCCTTATTCACTGCAGTCTTCACGCATATAGTATTTTGGCCAAATGTATAGGAACCACGTGTATCTATATTCATACCAAACGGTCGTGAAACATGGTATATGTATTTGCTTTCGTGATTCTGTTTATAGTAAGAGGAGCAATCTGAGAAGAAAAGTGTTTATACATTCTACAAGTTGACTTAGGTTATAAAACACAATGGTAACTGTTAGAGAAATTACAATAAAGAGATAGGGTGATCAATGAACAAACTTAAGCACCTTCTATGAAGGTGGAAGGTAAATTAGAAATTGTATGAGAGAACAACAAATGAAGGGGAAGGAGAAAAATACAGCACAAAAGTCAATTGTTATAATTCTATAAAAATTAAAAGTTTTATTTTCTCTTATTGAAACTATTCATAGAATGATACATTTGGCTTCTATCACACATACAATATACCGTTGTTATTATTATTATGAATTTTGAATGATTCCAGATTTAACAGATTTGTTGCATACTTGAACATAATTCATCATCATATGGTAGTTGAATTGAATAGGTTTCATCTTTAGATACACTGTTACCTGGAATTGAAATTTTGGAAGGTTCATTTCATGAACTATCATTAGTATATTGAACAATCGAAACATCATTTTAAACAAAATTTAATAATAATGAAAGGTATTTTTCATAGTTGAAATCATGAGGCAATTGAAGCTAGACCACCATCGAAAACCTGGAAGCACTGGACGGCCAACTCGTCCTATTATGGGACTCCTCATCAGTGCGCATCCACAATCCCGCACTCGCGAGATTCAAACCCGAGATTCAAAACCCGAACCTAGGACCCGGCTCAGTGGTCTATCGGTCAAGGGCTCTGACTCGAGACTGTTAGGTCTTGGGTTCGAATCCCACGAGGCGGGATCGTGGATGCGCACTGCTGAGGAGTCCCATGATAGGACGAGTTGGCCGTCCAGTGCTTCCAGGTTTTCGATGGTGGTCTAGCTTCAATTGATTCATGATTTCAACTATGAAAAATACTAAAATCTCTACAAAACCCCTTCTGATAATAATGAAAGGAAAAGTTCTAAGTTTAAGGTTGTGGTGATTGTTTAAGTTTATGAGTATGACGAACTAATCTAAGTTAGACAACATTGAATAAATGAAAGCATTGAACTATCGTTTGGACTGCTCAAGAGTGCATGTCCACGATCTAGAAACTGCGATCAAACACAAAACCTTCTATCTTTGGCAAGAAAGTTTAATCTCTAGATCACTTATCCGGTATTCAGTGGTGCGCATATCTAAAATGTGTCAATATCAGATGTTTAATTTCACAATTGTTCTTTTCATCAGATTGTACGTTTATTCAGTATCATGAGTAAACTTGATTTTATATTTAAAAAGCGTTGTTTCTCACTACATTAATGAATTCTTCATTCGTATATATTTTATTACATTAATAGATAAGAATTAGCTAATGTTGAGAAACTATTACACTTTGAGTGAACGAATGTGATCTTTATGGTTTATGATCCATTAATAATATTGAGTAAATAAGTAACCAGATATGAATTGAAAAAATCTGTATCACTTTTTCTTAACATCGAAATATAGTGCATATACTGAGATGTCTTTTAGAATATCGATTACACTGTAACATTATCCGTAGACTTCAATGAGTACGCTAAACACTAAGTAGTAAACATAAACTTGATCACTAGTTGAAATCTCTATCATATAGGTCAATCGTGACATGAATAGCTCAATAGTAAAGTCATAGATTGTGATGAAAATCATGCTAAGCATGGTATCTTGTTAACTACCTCCAGACACACAACATATCTCTGGCTCCAAAATTTTCCGTATTTGACTATCTAAGATTTATAAAATTAAGAAATTTCGTTAATTTTTATCGAAATGGAATGAAAGCTTATTAGTCCATCTTCAAATTTCATGTTGAACGCTTAAATATTAGATTACTGGTTTGATACCTACTTGTATGCATTTATAATTATAATCCATTCACGAATTTGTCAGATGAACATTCATTTCTTTTGGTAACACCTCTTTTACTCCTGTCATCATTGAACTCCACTGATTAAAACTTTTCACTATAGCTTTCAAAAACTCATTTCAAAGTAAATCACTGGTGAACTCACGGTTATAATCCTCATGTGGAAGATGTTTTTAAAGATTTATTTATTCTGTAGGCAGTATTCATCAATGACTGACCTCATTTAAGCTGTTACCGACTAAGACCACCTTCATATGGAACTAACTTTCTTAAAAATATGTTTATCGAAATTAGCTGTTTGTTTAAACAGAACAAAACATGTGAAAAAAAGAACATGTACATTGTGAAAAGATAATTGTATTTTGTACTTACTTCTCATTCGTTTAAATTTCATTCGTCGATTTTGAAACCAAACTTTGACCTAATAATGAAAGAATGAGAAACTATAGATTAGTAATAGTAATGTGATATGTAAACGTAGTTTTGTGATCATTGGTTTTACTTAACTGAATAAGCAATTTTAATTATATAAAATAAGATAATAAGGAGATTTTTGGCTTATAGTTTAGATCAAGATACATGTTTCATCCTATTTTGGACTCATCATAGCTGAATATACCTGGATCCCTCTATTGATAGTCATACTGAGACTCTGATTCAATATCTTCCGCTTAAAACTCTCAACACGCTAGTCACTGAGTTACAGAGTCTAGAGAGCCACTCACATATGTAACGAGCATGATATTTATATCACCATTAGAAAAGATTTAGATTATCTCGTTGATTACCTTGACTGCGAAAATAAATTCTAGATTTATCAGTTTTTTTGTGAAGATTTAGTATTTTCATAGTTAAGAGCTTGAGTTAATTGAAGCTAGACCACCAGGAAACTTCGTGGATTGGTTGGAGTTAGACATAAACACCATGGGATGCCGGTTCAGTGGTCTACCGGTTAAGTGTTCTGGCGCCCAACAGTTAGGTCCTGGGTTCGAATCTCGCGAGGCGAGGTCGTGGACGCGCACTGCTGAAGAGTCCCATAATAGGACAAAACGGCCGTCCAGTGCTTTCAGGTTTTCCCTGATGGTCTAGCTTCAATTAACTCACGCTTTCAACTATGAAAATTCTAGATTTCACTGTTCGACACAACCTACCTATTTCATTAAAACTTTGTTATAAAAAGTGACTCTATCAAGGCGGTTAACACATAATACAAACAACCAAGACTGATCGAAATTCAGTCAAAATTACTAACAGTGCTTGAAGTCACTAACTTCTAGTCTGAGCCATGTTGGTAGATGCAGACTACTTGGTTGGGGTCCGCATGACTATCGTAATAAATGGTTGGAGACTCTAGGTGACATGGTTCAGAATCGATCACAATGGCATAGGTGTATATACTATTTATCTTCCCCTAAACCTTGAGATTAAAATTGCTTCATAGCTTTCTTCCTTCCTATACTATATCCTTATATACAACCTATATTTTATATATTACCACCACTAAATTAACTACTTCTATGAATTTGGTGTTGATCTTGTTGGGCTAACAAGGTATGGCAACTTGGACCGATGCATATATGTGCCTGGTCTTACGTTGTAGCTGACTGACTGACTGACTGACTGTTAACGTTTCATAACACGAAACTGAATAAAATATATTCAAGTTTCATGGAGATCATCAGTTCCTTGAGGACCGAAAGTGTTTTATCTTGATGAGTAATTGACTAGCATAAATATCTATCTCTAAATTTCTTCACTGATTATCTCTAACTACCTAATATTTTTTTTTTCTTTGAAAAGAATTAAAATTTATCACAACAAACCATTAAGATAGATAGACAGACAATCAGAAGGTATTTTGTGGAGAATTTAGTATTTTCGTAGTTGAAATTATGAGTCAATTGAAGCTAGGCCATCATGGAAAACCTGGAAGCACTGCATGGTCGTTTCGTCCCATTGTGGGACTCCTCAGCAGTAAGCATCCACGACCTCGCCTCGCGATATTCAAACCCAGAACCTACCAGTCTCGTGCCAGAGCACTTAACCGATAGACCACTTAGCCGGCATCCGATGGAGTTAATGTCTAACTTCAACCAATCCCTGAAGTTGAGCAACCATTCAGACAGACAATCATTTACTAAACTTCACTTAATGAAGGTAAGCTTATTTCTTTAAGAGGTTACAAAATAACGATAATTGCAATAATAATAATAATAATAATTCATATTTGTTTAGTCTAATTTTTTTTTGCTTTCTTGTTGCTGACCGAGTTTTGTTTTTATTGACTTGTCAGTTCACGTGTCAATAAATCAATAAACTTGATAACTTAGATTGGGTGATTTGTTTGTTTGTTTGTCTGTTTGAAATTTCATCTCATATAAACAAGGAATCAGTCAAATAAATAAATAAGGAACAAATAAACTATCTATGGAAATCCTAAAAACCCTTGAATAGTTATTTTTTTCAATGGGTTGAGAATACAATCATTTCAAATATGGATCTACTTGGTATGATATCAATCAATGTTAATTTTTTGTAAGATGATCTTGACACACACACACACACACTCATACACGTTTCTATATAACTTGAGAATATTCAATGGTTATTACCAGGTAATATATATATATATATATTTGTGTATATGAATTCGTTTTATATAGTCTGCTAATTTGTAACATTAACGTTGAAAAGTATAATTGACAAGATAAAATTAGATCCACCTCCTCCCCCCCCCCAAAAAAAAACCAAGATCGTTTTGAGAGAAAAACTATAAATAACATTGTGACCCAATTGGATATTTGTTACTAACACAAATAGTAATTTAAAAAAAGTGGATTTAGTAGGAATAAAGTTTTTTTTTTGATTATAAATAAAATATAGAAAATAGGTAGCCATATTGAATGGGTGGAGATAGTGTTTTATGATTGAGAATGAGGGACGACAAAATCTTCATGATTGTTCTCTTACATAAATAGGAATTTGGTACAGGTTCACCAGTCTATCATTCTACTTGTCTATTAGATAATTTAATTTAAATTTAACTTACTCACATAGCATCCTTACTACTTATTTACTTACACCTGTTACTCCCTATGGAGCATAGACCGTCGACCAGCATTCTCCAACCCACTCTCTCCTGGGCATTCCTTTCTACTTCTATCCAATTCTTGTTCATTTTTCTCATGTCTGCCTCCGTTTCTCAGCGTAGTTTATTCTTTGGTCTTCCTCTCTTCCTTTCGCTTTCACGATTCCATGTGAGGGTTTGCCTCGTGATGCAGTTGAGTGATTTCCTCAATGTGTGTCCTATCCACTTCCAGCTCTTCCTCCTCATTTCTCCCTCCGCTGAAATCTGGTTTGTTGTCTCCCACAATAGGCTGTTGTCAATAGTGTCTGATCAACGGATCAGAAGTATTTTGAACTGACAATTGTTAATAAACACTTGTATCTACTGGATGATAGCTTTCATAGTTTTCCACGTCTCCCCCCATACAGTAGAACTGTCTTGACATTCATATTGAAAATTCTGATCTTGGTGTTGGATGACAGTTGTTTTCAGTTCCAGATGTTTTTCAATTGTAGATATTCTGCTCTTGTTTTGCCAATTTTCGCCCTCACATCTGCATCAGATCCATCGTGTTCATCAATGATGCTGCTCAGATATGTAAAGGTTTTTACATCCTCCAAAGCTTCCACGACAAGTGTGATTCGATCGGTGCATGCTGTATTGTATCGGAGAATCTTGCTTTTTCCTTTGTGTATATTGAGACTTAACGCTACTGAGGTTACTGCTACACTGTTTGTCTTCTCCTGCATTTGTTGTTGTGTGTGTGATCGAAGAGCTAGATCATTTTTGAAGTTTAAATCGTCCAGCTGTATCCTAACTCTCCATTATATCCCGTGCTTCCCTCCAGATGTTGACATCTTCATGATCCAGTCGATGAGAGAAAAGGTGAGAGTAAGCAACCTTGAACGAGTCTGTCAACTGTCCTTCATGCACGATTTTGCAGTTTAATCCATCATAGGAATTCCGTATGATATTGACTATCTTCTCAGGCACATAATAGTGTCGAAAACTTGTTATCCACTCAATGAATAAACATAAAATTTTGTACTTGGTTTTAATGTTCACCTTTTTTTAATGAAATAGAGTAGGCATAACTGATTGCCATCAATTCTCTAATCATGTTGATTCAATTAGCTGACTACACAAGTCTCTACATTCTCATTTATTGAATCAGAATAGTAAAATGATACGTAAGTGTTCACATACACTGGAAGTTCATGAAATATTGAACCACTGTTTTCTTCTAGTTTATCCCTTCTTAGTGGTACACATCTCAGACTACATCAAACCTCAAATACAGTAACTTCAATCATCATAAATCAATTGTTTGATAGATATCAATTAATTATTTAACGAATAACTACATAAGTTCTGTTCTCTTTTTTTTTTCTAACATTCAATTAACTGAACACCTACCTACACTCATCTATATTCTACATTTTTTGGTCACTAACGGAGATCAAATAAACTTCTATTAAACTACATTGTAAAAACTATGTACAACTAATTATATTCGTGATCTTAATAATATTTAAAGTGTTGTTTCTCTATTTTTCAGACATAATTTAACATGAATCAACGTGAGATCAGTACAGATCTACATAGAGAATAAAAACACACAAATTGTCATAATTAAATTGTAAACTTGACAACAGAATATATCCTGGTAATCTCTCTCTCACTGAGTGTCTTTTTATATGGATTGACGTAAATAAAAAAACACCCTCTGATCCATTTCATAGGTTAGTTTCTGTGTAGAAATATTTTGTATGTAAATCGTTCGTTTATTGCAGACTACCTCATATCTCCACACACACACACCCTCTCTCTCTCTCTCTCACACACACACACACATTCTCTATCATTCTACTATTCTCCAATGTTGTACATTTGAAATTCTAGAATTATAAAATAGGGGAAAAATAATTCATCCTGAGAAACATTAAAGGCATTGACAATGTCTCTATGTATGCATGTGTGTGTGTGTTTATATGAATGACTAAATAATTTGCTATTCTCTTAGGATCAGTTTAGGGTTAAAAAAAATAATAATCAAATCTTTCATTTTTGTTTTAGGCATAGATATTCAATAGACATAAGCATAAATATTATTGTATGTGTGTATGAATTCAGGGTATTCTAGTAACTAAACTTAAGATGTATCTGACATGAAAAAAACAATCGACTATAGGTCAACATTTGACTTGGCAACTATACACCATTAGTAAATACGTGATGCACAACTAGAGTGACGATATATATACATATATGTGCCATTTCTAAAATTATGAAAATCATTTGAATTCTTTGTAAATTATTCATTACCCCCACCCTACTGATGTCTGTCTATATTTGTATATGTGTAATTAATCCCTGTCAGTGTGTATGTACGCGTGTAAGTGAGCAAACAGTATAGTATAGTACATTCACTCACTTTCTATCTAAAAAAAAAACAATGTATAAATGAACATGTGGGAATTGGCAAATCCGGTAATAACACAACAATGATAATAGTAATTCTCAAATGATTTATTTCACACTATCCACCACACAACCATCACTCTAGAGATGATAATAAAACAAAAAAGATATTCATTTTTTTGTTGCTTGATTTATACTTACACACACACAAGGACCCACCTACAAATCTTTATATTTCTAATGGAAGGTCTCAACACTATTTACTATGACTACTACTTTCATATTCATGATAATAATTATGATTACTAATATGATCAGTAGTATTAGTAGTAGTAGTTGTCTATGAAGTAAAATTGTAGACATACTAATCAGAACTCTACAGTAACCATTGTTGTAGAATAGTACAAATGTACATATAATGTTGATGATATTGGTAAACATGCATACCATAGCAATACAGTTCAATATTCATTTCCAGGGTGGGTATTAATATTATTATTATTATTCATCAAAAAGTGATGCACACAAAAAAAAGGTACATGTTTGTACACAGCGATCTGTATCCTAATGCACCTGTTATTGTTCATTTCATTCAAACAATAGATGAAATACATATTTTCAAAGTTGAAATCATGAGTCAATTGAAACTAAACCACCGTGTAAAACCTGGAAGCACTGAACGGCCGTTTCATCCTATTACGGGACTCCTCAGTGGCAGTGCACATCCACGATCCCGCTCTCGAGAGATTCGAAGTGACCAGTGGAGTTCAACCACGTCTGCTATGAGATAATAACTCACTGAAGGCAATTGGTGAATGGTTGCTCATAATTCGTGGATCGGTTGAAGTTAGACATTAACACCGTTGGATGCCGGCTCAGTGGTCTATTGGTTTAGGGCTCTGGCTCGAGACTGGTAGGTCCTGGGTTCGAATTTCGCGAGAGCGGGATCGTGGATGAGCACTGCTGAAGAGCCCCGTAATAGGACGAAACGGCCGTCCACTGCTTCCTGGTTTTCTATGGTGGTCTAGCTTCAATTGGCTCATGATTTCAACTTTGAAAAATACTGAAATCTCCACAAATCCCCTTCTAAATACATGTTTATCAGTATGTATTACTTTTTTATTTAAATAAGCAGCTGAATTCCTTCATATTGACAATTAAAAATCAGATCTGTCGTGTCTTGTTTTATGATCATTTCTTCTGATAGTTTTATTTTAGTGTTAACAATCAATTGATTACTGAGTAGTAGTGTGATCGATATCATATTTATCTAATCCTTATTGTGCTGATTGAATTCCATTGATTAAGTTGTATTATGGCTTACCAGTCTAGTTGTTGACTTGACATTATGTGCACTATACTGAGATATTATGTGTTTTAGGATAGTTTAAAAGGGTTGTCTAACGTCCTCGAATGATCTTACCAAATTTGTTTCATTAAGATAATTGAAACCATGAATTAGTAATTGAAAATTACAGGATAGTAAACACGTCTTTACTTCATATCATCCTCAGCGCCTTTACTGTCCTCACAGAAACGTTTATTCTATTTCTCAATATATTATCTTCGTAATCACCCTTCAACATTTCATGTTTTTCCAGAAAGTTTTACCTTGTTTCTCCAGTTCGCTTATTCATTGAATAAATCACTCAAATATATACTTAAATATTAAATCTCGATTGTGTAACTTAGACACAGATGTGTGACTAGCTTCACCATGCAATACCTAAAACAAAAGATTGAATATAACGCAGATGGGTTGCGACTGACAGTAGAATTTAGAATGTGTTTCCTTTCATCTTGAACTCATTATTTGGACGTACTTATATTCTAGTGTTAACATTGAAACTCAAACCCTGTGCCTTTTACTCCAAACGCCCATTAGTTTGTTCGCTGATACAATTATCCCAGATGGTCACTAACTTGTTTACTGTGAACCGGACATTGATTATAATAAAGCTTGTGACCAAAGCCTATCCGTTCAGGAATCAGATATGTTAACAAGCGATGATAAGTCTCAGTTCCGAATGTTAGCAAAGGAATAATTCAAATCATTACTAATAATGATTTCAATGCTTGAATACAGATTAAATGCCTACTACGAAACCAAAAGCCATGAATTTGGTCTCTTGTGGGGTGGTAGATATGCAATGATGAAAATTCCTATATTGGGATGAGATGACTGTCCAGTGCTTCCTGGTTTTCACCAGTTGTCTGAGTGTGATCAATCAGTAACGTAAACTAGAAACACATTGAACGAACTTTCAATGCATCAATAGCAATGAATTAAGAACGTAATATTTTCAGAAGAGGTTTTGTGGAGATTTCAGTATTTGCATAGTTGAAATCATCAGTCAATTGAAGCTAGACCACCATAGAAAACCTGGAAGCACTGGACGGACAACTCTTCCTATTGTGAGACTCCTCAGCAGTGCGCATCGACGATCCCGCCTCGCGAGATTGGAACCTAGGACTTACGAGTCTCTCGCCGGAGTACTTAACCAATAGACCACTGAGCCGGCATCCCACAGTGTTGATTTCTAACTTCAACCAATGAGCAACCGTTCACCAATTGTCTTCAGTGAGTTGTTATCTCACAACAGACTTGGTTGAACTCCACTGGTCACTGCTGAGGAGTCCCGTAATAGGATGAAACGGCCGTCCAGTGCTTCCAAGTCTTCCATGGTGGTCTAGCTTCGATTGACCCATGATTTCAACTTATTATTCATTGAACTGAAAGTCAAAAACTCTTCTAGACTTACTTGTCTTTCAGTTAAATTCAACGCTACAGCTATTTCATATCGTCGTAATCTTGTTAAATAACTATGCGTTGTAAATTCTTTTTCTAATTCACAAATCTGATGTTTTGTAAACGCCGTACGTTCTTTTCGTGGTTTATTACTATTATTACTGAGAATTTTGTGAAAATTACATGATGCATTTGTTTTGTCTGTCATTAAACAATGACCATAATTGGCAATATCATCACCTTCATCATATTCATCATCAGTTATATCATGAATACTATCGTTTATGCTAATATTTGATCTTCGGTTCGTTTCATTGTTCAACATTTGTTCTTGACATTGGGTTTTATTGAATATACTATGTTCAACGTGTGTTGATTTGAATCCATCATCGATAAACGAACTATCATTAAGATGATCATCAATAAACTGTTGATGTGATATGTGTTTGTCATGATGAATACTACTTAAATGATTAGTAGCACTACTAGAATTAGTAGTATATCTGGATTTTTTAGAATTTACAGGTTCTTGTATAGTAGAATTATTGAGTCCAATTGTTTTTAATTCACCAGTTTGTGAACGTTTACGATTAGGATTATTAATTGATTTCTTATTACTGTTATTATTATTATTATTAGATAAAATGGATTGATCCAACTGAAAATGATTTATTGATTTAGTGGAATGTAATGTTGATGTAGGAGTTGTCAATGTTGAAGATGATGGTCCTATTGGTGATGACGATGATGATGAGGATGCTATTACAGAATATGGATTCGGTATTGATTTGATTTGTTGATTTTCTTATAATAAAACAGATAGAACAAAGTTAGAAAAAAGTGTACTGGTGACAACATTTTCTGGATCAGATTTATTATGACAACATATGCTGTGAATATTTAGTAAGGTTTGATATTAGTCAACTGGATGGGCTTATATCCTAGGATTCGAACCCAGCATCTGTTTCGTTAAACGTCAACTTTGTATCCACTAAACTACTGAGACCATATAACCATTGATATTTTCAACAGGAATAATTTCATTTTTAAGGGTTTTTAGTTTTCTGTTATTGATATTGATGACAAAACATGCCTACTGGATTCGGTTGCTAATCACAATCTTATCTCCAGGACTTCTATTCATGATTCACATATAATAATAGAGAGCGGCCAGTTATGGTCCTTAATATCAATAGCTAGAGGAATGCAAACCTAAAATACAGTAATTACTTGTTTAATACAATTATATGACTCATTTAAGTACACAACCCTGATTAGTGTCTTTGTTAAACTTGGAAACATGATACCTTATTCTGAATCAATCTTAATTGAATTGTGATATTTCCTGATAATATAAAGGGGAGTACATTGAACATTAACAAACCTGAACTTTAAAAGTAAAAAACTTCCTAATTCACTTCTTAGCCATCTCTCTAATCTAAGAGTTCTATCTAACTTGATGGAAAAGGTTGAATGGACGAACACTTAATAAGATTCATTTGTAATGCAGAAGGGACAAACCTTAATATCTAGTTAAAAATAGGAACTATTGGGATCACATGTCATTGATCTGTGCAAGGTGTGAAACTCCCAGATTCAACTCCCAATGTTGTTGTGGGTTAGCACTTCTGAAAAGACCAAAACTGGGACGAAACAGATGAATTAGAATGGTTATTTGAACTAAGCTGGTCAAGGATTTTGAACTTCGAATGCAATAGTCTTTACAACACCCAAATAGTAGTAACATTCAAACATTAACTGGTCACCATATAGTGGTCAATTTCATGCTTTTCTACTATTTTAGTACTAATCCAAGTCTATTGATCAAGATGGAATGTGACTGCTAGTCTTGGTAACTCGACATTAGATGTACTTAGTGTTGATGTTGAAATGATGAGGAAGATTCATAGCCCAGACACATGTTTTGGTTGCGTTTTGTTCTTTGGATTAAGTGGTTTAACTCCGAAGCTTTCGTTATCGTTCAAGACAACATCAATGTCTGCTCCACGTGATGAGAGAGAACACAACATTACTTAATGCTTTTTAATGTTCGGTGGCTGGATTCTACCAAGGGCTAGACAAACATAATCTTAGTTAGAATTAATTGGCTCATTAATCTAAATACCCTAGTCATTCAAATAGTTATTTGTGGTCCTAATAGCTCAGTGATAACATTTCGGACTGTAAAACTGGATAAGGTGGTTTCCAGTCCTACGATTGAGCATCAGTTCTCTTAAAATTACAAGTACAAGTAGTTGAGAAGTGCCCACTAAAATGAAATATATGTCCAGAGTTTCCTACTGACTGGATTTAACCACATAATATATATTTAAATATCAACTAACCAGTTAGACACAAATATAAAACATCTTCAATGATAGAAAAAAGTCAAGTATTCATAATCTAGAGAATTTCTACTGGAAGAAAGTTGTGTCTAAGAATTGTAATCGAATGAAGAAGTGACGACTTTTGGATTTCTAGCTCATCTGTTTCTCAATGTTCGATATGTATAGAGTTTCCACGTTCATTTTGTTAATGGATGCCGCATATAAGTAGATAATGTTTACTAACGATGTCATTTTAGGTTTTAACTTTCAATATATAGCCTGTTCACGGAAAGGCATACATAGATAGTTTTTGTTAATTACAATAAAGTTCAGCAAAAAATCATACTTTTCTATGTACAATACTGACACACTAAGCACAAAAATGAACGAAAATGACAAGTATTTCACTCTTATTGAACACTGAAAAAAGGATGATTATTCTCACACATAGAAACAGAAAATGACAAGTGTTCCTTAATTTGTAGAGGTACAGTTAAGCAACGAGGTTGAACAATTAAAATAACTGTATGATTTTAAAGTCACTTTTCAGTCAATAAGTAGGTAATATATACACTCAGCTATTGAATGAATGTAGTGTTGGCATTTGAAGTGAAATTTACTGGGTTCACTAACACTGTGATGTAGATACATTTAGCTGATGAGTCCAAGATAAAATGAAATGCGCATCCTAGACTTAATTATCACCCAGAATCTCTATTGATCAGCATTAATTTTATACACAGCTTTATATTCTCGTCAACCAGAATTCATTATTTTTCAGTTTCTGGATGTTGCTCATTGGGATATAATGACCATAGCATTTAATTCTTTCGATCCATAGGTTTCGATTGTAAAATACGTTTAGCTTAAGCATCTAAGTAGTATAAATAACTTTCACATTTAAAGTTTGGGTTAAGACCGATTAATTAAACCTTTAATTAATAAATAAAGCACATTAAATATAATTAAGGATAATCGAACTGAAATGTATATTGTTGTCGTATATATTTCTTAATACCGATTCGTTTATTCGTTTTAGTCTTAGTAGCAGCCGGTATACCACAGTGGTAACATCTCAGATTGTAAAAATGTGACACTGGTTTGAGTTCGATCAGGAGTACTGATTTTCGCAATATTGCAGGTATACTTATAAGTGTTAAATGGTATGAAACCTCTGTTCTATGTTTTTTTTCTCACTACATCTAACACGTCAGGTATGGATTAATAAATAGTATTAGACTAGAATGAACACAGGTATCCAGTACATCTATATGACATTCATTAATCGACGATATGTTTTACTGTTCATAAATTATTAATAATTCACTATATACCGATTAGTTAGTTCCTCAGTTATGAACAAATTGAGATTTCTTATTTACAGTAATGTTATCCTCTTGGATTTGATGCACATTATCATATGACTTTTAAAACAAAGTATACAGGGTAAACTGATTAATTTTATTTTGTTCTAATTGGGCAGATAGACATGTGAAGATGGGAAGATGTAGCATTAGTCAGTTAGCCTCAGCATAATTTTACTTGGTACATAAGAGACAAAAGGAAGGTTATGAGTATTATTTTCCCCGTTGAAATCATAAATTCATTTTATCTACACCACCATTGAAAACTTGGTGGTCTAGCTGAAATCAGTTCGTGATTTCATTGATGAAAATACTTCAGATAATCCATAATAATAGCAATAGCATGTTCTTTGGTGACTGCCTTCAATATGCAATTACTGGGGTTTCAGTGAGAAGCTGTGACTGGTAGAACTTAATCCGTGTTGGGTGTGAGATAGTTATCCACCTCAGGAAATGAATGAAGGGATGCACAAGATCATGGATTTATTAAAGTTGGATATCGACATCGTTGGTTGGGGGCTCAGCGGTCTAAAGATCAAGCGTTCGCGCTGGAGACAAAAGATCTTTGGTTCGAATCTCGCATGCAGGATTGTGTGTTTACACTTTTGAGTAGTCCCATAGTAAGACGAAATAGCCATCCAATGCTTCCAGGTTTTCAATGATGGTCTAGCTAAGATGACATTGTAATTTCAACTATGACAATACAACAATCTCTATAACTCTCTTATGCTATTATAATTTTATTGTAAAATGAAGTTATATCATACCTAATTGAAGTCTTTTGTCTGTTCAACTAACGTAAACTACTTATTAATTTTCATAGTTAGAATCATAAGTCAATTGAAGCTAGACCACTAGGGAAAACCTGGAAGCACTGGAAGGCCGTTTTGATCTATTATGGGATTTCTCAGTAGTGCGCATTCACAATCCCACCCCGCAAGATTTAAACCCAGGACCCATCAGTCTCGTGCCAGAGCACTTATTAATTATCTAAAAATGTTTTAATCATATATTTTTATTGACTTAAATCAAACAACCATAATCTATACAGAAATAAATAACTTTTGATAAAACGATATTAGGCTTAACTGTTGACTTACTCATTTCTAATGATTGATTATACATCATATCTTCTTCTGTTGACCAATATTTTTCTAATCTATCATTAACTGTCATTATACTACTATTAGTAGTATTGATAGTTGTCATACTACTAGAAAGATTTGTAGTAGTTTTTAATTTATCACAAAATTTATTCATTATTATTAAATCATTTTTAGATAAAGTAGAATTGGGTTGTTTATGTATTAAATTTGATGGTTTATATTCAAAGAGATTCAAATGTTCATTGAGTGTTAACATATTTGGATACCAATTTGGTTCTGGGAAATAATTGGGCAAGGTACAATCTGAATTATTATTGTTACTAACAGTAGAATGATATTGATTCATTGTATGAATATGATCACTATACCATGGAATTAACTCATGATTCAATACTCTTAATAAATGTGCATTAGATTCAGATTGAAATGAGGAAATTGGTGATACTGACGTAGATGTTGTTTTTACTGATGATGGTATAAATAAATTGAATGAATTAATCTTTCCAGTAGACTGTACAGATGATGATAATGTTGGTGATATTGACGTTGAGGTAGATGATTGTGAATATGTTTGACCAATTTGTTGATAATCATTCCAATAATGTGCATTTGTATGATCTGATAGGGATTCATGATGATAATCTGTTCTTTGTGTTCTATCCGATGAAAATAATCGACGTTTTGTTGAAAATAATTCTTCACTAGAAGAATTTATCGGATTTGTTAGATCTATTGGATCAATATTTTTGATTTTATTACTTGGAGATGATATACAACATGTATTACTATTGCTACTACTATTACTACTACTACTACTACTACTGCTACTTCTGCTATCAACACTACCACAACCGTTACTACTACTATTATTAATATCAGTAGTATATGTTTGTTTCATTTTCAACTGTAATTGATATGATTTCCTATCATATGGATAATAATGATGATGATGATGAAGATGTTGAAGATTTTCATGATCATTTTTATAAGTTGAAGACATAGAATTCAATGGTTCAATATTTGACGGTAATAAATTTAAACAATTACATTGATTTATTGAACAATGACATATATTATGCATATAAGTAGTTAATGTCATCGAGTTCGATTGTATCATGAAGGTAAAGGTTAAAAATTTTACTATCCAGATATATAGAAGTGAATTTGACACTGATGTTGTCAGTATCTGTACAAATATGATCGGGATTCAAAATGATTTACGGCTAGTAAAAAGGTGCGAAAAAAAATGCACACAAATAAACATGTTAGAAAAATCTTTCCTATCTCGACTAATATTTATCTTATTGCTTAATTAGTTCAAAATTAGAATATGTGATAAGGTGTTATAACTTATTTGAATCTGATTGGTTATTAGGAAATATGTTAAGAGTGGGCGTGTGTGCATGAACCAGAATAGTCGTAAAAGGGGCGAAATATTTAATGATTCCTAGTTCTGTATATGTGTACATGTATTTTTGTGCAAATATATACTACTTTCCGTGAAATAAACTTTTTGACCAATCAGAAAAAGATGGTTATTCCGGTGATAGTTGACTAAAAATTTCGAAAAATATAATATAGGGTGGTGGTTGGTTAATGGTGTAAAATCCTAATTTCATATTACACCTTAATTCCTGTCATTTCGAACTTGTCTACTTGATCAACTTGTTTTTTCTCTGTTATGCCATTATCTCCTCATAAAAAGCACACTCCAAAGTGATGCTTAGTTGTTAGAGTTAATAAACAGGAAAAATGAAAGACAGGTTTCATCCTTATTGGTATCCATCAACAAGGAGTACCCATAATCTTGAAAGAATTGGCATATTTTCTGTTATTAGAATCTATGCTGTCTTATTTCACATTCTGACACTTAAGCAATGGGCTATCTTTTACAAATCTGACTTTCTAAGATTGATCACTGAGTTATAATAATTTATATGCCTATCGTAAAGAGGACTTTCTTTCAGGTCTTATTATTATCCACCATATAATTTTCATTGCCTCTCTAACATTACTTAGAGGATCGGGCGATATAAAGAAATCACAAACTGTACTGATCAATTTGTTCATAGTGAAGTATTATACTCTGTTATGCTTAACCAGACTCACCAAAAATAAGTTTCTTGTAGAATGAATGTAATGTTCAAACTCTGTTATTGTCGGACTACAGACTCTTAAACAGTGTATACTAGTAATCATACTAGAAAGAACACAAAAATTTCACAATCTAAAGGTAAGTAAGACATAATCAATTCCTTAATTCCCTAATTCAATAAAATATTTCACAAAGGGTGATTTCTCATCCGACATTATTAAGGAGCTGCTGCTTAATTTGTAACGTTGATCATAGATTCTAATAATAAAACATTCGAAAATTCAACTAGACTATAGTAATTAATTAGGACATGAATTCGATCGATTAGGATTTACGTTTACATTTCTTATATCTTACGTTGAATACTAAATAAGTGATTATTGGGTGACCGTATGAAACTCCCCAGTGTCACTGAGCACCCATTATTAAATTTCAGTCGTATGGTTTAAAGGTTAATCACTCAGGTCAAGATTTGACATCCCTATAGGAATAAATAGTTGTCCAGTGCCAGTTGACTTAAAATGAAAACTCTGTAATGAAACCATAACTTCGTTTTCAATATTTAACTTCATCCAATCAATAGGCAGATTCTTTTCAGAATTATATTTTAGACTAATAGAAAATGATCAAGAGACAGAGAGAAAGATTGCAGATTAAATCTCGGTTGCGGATTAATTCAGTAAGGTAATCGTTCATTATGACCCTTGAGTGTATCCTCATAGTTTACTTCATTATGATGTTCATTCAAGTTACGATTAATGAAACTTAATCAGTGCAAGCAAAATCTGTCTAGCAAATAATGGTAATTACCCCCCTCGTCAAATAAATATATTCTTCTCAGTCACATGTCAGCCTTGTAGTCTAATACTTCATGGTTTAGTGAGCTATAAAGTTCTATGTGCAGCAGTCATGTGTATGGTCTAGATTCGATCACATGAGTAGGTAATATCAAAGCATTTCAAAATATAGCCAAATAACAAATCAGTGCTTTTTAAATGTATATTGATAACATTAGATAATTGTCAAATTGTCGAGTAATATGGATAGTTGAACTTCAATGAATTATAGATCAAGCTCAGTGGTCTATCGGTTAAGTGCTCTGCTTCGAGACTGGTAGATCCTGGGTTCGAATCTTGTGAGTGCGGGATCGTGGATGCGCACTGCTGAAGAGTTCCGCAATAGGACGAAACGGCCTTAAAGCAGTGCTATCAAATTTTCCATGGTGGTCTAGCTTCAATTGACTCAGGATTTCAACTATGAAAATTTAATATATTAGTTGGATGGTTTTATGTTTTTCACGTTATTTTCATATCCTTTCCTTTCCAAAATATACTAAAAACCTCTTCATTTAAACGCATTATCTAAGCATTCGTCGAGAATTTGCAAAAGCTAACAGATATGGATTAATTATAGTCTTATATATTATCATCAGGGAATTGTAAATTCTGAATAATAGCAACATATTCAGTCAACAAGTCAAAAACCGTTTGATTTTAATGGATAATGATGTGGCGTTTAAAGTGACAGAGATCTAAATTGGAGTCTCAATGTGAGCATTAACTCTGTAATAGAAATAGGCATATTCGGCTGAAAAATGCCGAATGGGATGAGTGGTATGTTATTTATTTAACTGTTAACTACAATCCAAAACATATGTAATTTTGGAGTAAACTTTTTCTAGGAGCTAAATTTAAGTGTAGAGCGGCAGAAAACAGAAAAGCTCTATTTAGCCTTTATTGTTACAGTTTAAAGCGCCTGAGAAATGTACACACGTTACTTCAAATAAAAACTATCCTACAATAAATTTAAGTTCCTATTTGAACCATGAGGCATTTTCGTTTCGAACTGACAGTTTGCAGTTCAGAGTATTATTAAGAAACCCAGAGGGTACTGAATCCTTGTTTTTTTTAGCAGTCAAATTCATATGATGAATTGATGAACACAGTGGATCTGATGCAGATGTGAAGGTTCGAATCCATAAAGCAAGAGCAGTATTTCCACAATTGAAGAACATCTGCAACTCAAAACAACTGTCAACCAACATCAAAGTTAGAATTTTCAATACAAATGTCAAGACAGTTCTACTGTATGAGACAGAAACTTGGAGGACTACGAAAGCTATCATCCAGAAGATACAAATGTTTATTCACAGTTGTCTACTCAAAATACTTCGAGTCCGTTGATCAGACACTATCAGCAACAACCTACTTTGGGAGAGAACAAACCAGATTCCAGTGAGGGGAGAAATGTGGAAGAGGCGCAGGAATTGAATGGGACACAAATTGAGGAAATCAGCCAACTAAGTCACAAGGTAATATTTCACATGGAATCCTGAAGGTGAAATGAGGAGAGGAAGATCAAAGAACACATTACGTCAAGAAATGGAAGAATGAACAAGAATTGGATAGAACTAGAAAGGAATGCCCAGGAGAAAGTGGACCGGAGAATGTTGATCGGCTGCCTATGCTCCACCGGGGGTCACAAACGTAAGTAAACAAGTAATTGTACTAAATTGACAATGAACACTAGACTGAACTAAGTGAACATTCTTACTGAAAAAACAAAAATGATATCGATGCGTATACAAGTAGTTGAAGTGAACATGTATATAGACAGAACATGTATGTTTGTAATGTAAAGTGTATATATATCTACCTATCGGTTATTCACTTATTGACACTTAATCAAACTATAAAGAAAATTGTATCCTGTCATGTCATTTCATCCTAAAACAAGCGAGAAAAAAAAAAGTAGTTTTAAAGTAATAACATGAAATATCAGTGTTCCATAGGTATGAGTGTATAACCTGTCCCCCAGTTCTATAGAAGATAAGGGAGTAAGTAAAGTTTTAGGTAGATAAAAGTTGTGAAAGAATGAAAGATAATGATAAATGATCTTTGTTATCATTTCAATAATGTTCTAGACTATTCCTAATGATTGATAATGAATTGATTAACATACAAGATTATAAATAGATTAAGTGTTTTTACTATGAACAAATTAGTAACTTTGAAAGTGGATGATACTTCGGGAATAAAAAAAAGGAAGGAGATCAATCACTACACCTTCAAATGATTACAACTTTTTTCTCTACTTCATTTAGTACTGTTGAATGATTGAACTTTTCTAGCAAATTAACATTAGGGTTAAAGTAATAAAGAGATTTTCAAATGGAGAGGTTATTTTAACTTGTAAGTGATATTTGTCATGGATTGTTCACAGTCAGAGTTTCATTATAAAGCAGAGAGTATTATCATAGTTGAAATTATGAGTCATTTGAAGTTAGACCACCATGGAAAACCTGGAAGCACTGAACAGCCGTTTCGCCCTATTATGGGAATCCTCAGTGGCAGTGCACATCCACGATCCCGCACTCGCGAGATTCGAACCCAGGACCTACCAGCTTCGCGCCAGAGCATTTAATCGATAGATCACCGAGCCGGAAAGTATTAGACAATTATTTTGTCCTAATATTTGTGGTTCATGAACAATGTCTGCCCATAACTCTAATAACAATCGGAATTGGAACCTTCAGATTTCGTAACAATTTTTTAACCTTTATACCATTGAGTCTATATTTATTGGCTTACATTCTATAAATGATTTAAATTAGAAATATAAACTGTTATATGCCATACCAATGGGCTAAAAGTTAAGAGTTCATCATGAGGTGTGAAAGTCTTGAATTCGATTTCTGGTGGGTCGTGGATTCTCATTAATAAGGAGCTATGGACTAAGAAGAAACAGTTGTCTAGTACTTCTTGGTTTACACTTATCTTTTAATCAAGATCAGCTCATGAAGTCAACTATGAAACTCTACTGTCTCCTTAAACCTCTTATCATAAATTAGTAATTTATTGTGCACAAGGAACTGATTCACCACAACCAACAATCATCTATTGAGTTTTAAGCTTGCTTAGCAATTAATTAACTCATTATTATTTAATTATGAAGTTGTCAGTATTGCATTATCAGAATGGTGAATTTCTACTATACACTCCTAAGTCTATTAAGATCTAGAT